TCCGAGCCCCAACACTATTGCCACAGCCAGCTGAATCGGAGCCAACTACCAATGGGCGGGGAGACTTCGTCAAATAATAACGATCTTGGTGGTTTCCACTGATCTTCTTTCCCGAATATACACCCATGTGTCTTTGACGGAGGAAACCGTGGCTGTACCGTGGTACTCGGGTAAACGGGACCAGCCTCTCTTTACTCTCACGCTTATTGTCAGCACGAGAAACATATACATAGTTGTGTTGAGTTTGTTGACAAGGAGTCAGGAAAAAAACTAGGAAAATAAAAATTAAAAAAAAAAAAAAAAAAAACTGCAAGGTGAATGACAGACATTTGTGTCAATATCAATGGCTGCTCACTAAGACATATGATGAATGAGTGCATGATGTACATACTTTTGAAACGTAATATACCTGCTTACTCTGTACAGTAAAGAACAAACCTCCGTTTGAAAACGCCGCGCTAAGCACGGTATGGAAATCGGATGCATGTGTGTATTCCACTAGCGTATCTATAACCCTAACAATTGGCGATCTGACAGAGGAAAGGGAATATCATGAGACTCGTCAATCGAGGAATGTGTCGAAGGTTCCGGGTGGTGTATTTACTCAACCATTACCGTACAGGGTAGTGGGGAGAAACTGGTCCACACTGAATTGAAGTTTGACTAGTTTGATGCAGATATTACCCTAGAAGCCTGTCGACTACTCGTGAAAGTTATGGTTAAATAGTTCGAAGTATTTGGTTGCCACTCTGACGAAGCCGTTACCAGACAAGACGGAAAACAAGAAAAATATACAGAGTACAGTACCACTAGGTATGTAGGTAGGTAGAAAGAGGTGTGAGTGAGTGTGAGTGAGAGAGAGAGAGAGAGAGAGAGAGAGAGGAGAGAAAGCGGAGAAGGAAAAGATAAATTACAAGCGGCGTGGCATTTAATCATGGTCACGGTAGCATGATTCCCGTTCTTCCCCCCCAGACAAGCCAGTGGGAAGGCATGACGGGACGGCGGATGACCCAACCTCCCCACTACGATAGCGATAACTCCATCCCAGGATCCCCTAGCGTATCTCCGGCCGACGCAACTCCCGCCTCACCGCTGCTTTGCTCCCCACCGCTTCATGCCCGCCATGGCCTCATCCTATCATCCTCTTCTCTTCTTTTCTTTCGTACCCCCGGATTCTGGGCTTTCTGCTCTCCCGAAGGCCTTTGTCCTCAGGCTTCGCCGCTGCCGAATTCACTTCCAATCCTACCTCTTATTTGTTTTTTGTACCACCCGTCTGTCGTTTATTTTATTTTATTTTTTGATGAATTTTTCCCTTTCCTATTTCTTGTTTCCCCTCCCCCTTGGTACATAGTCAATTGACACAATGTCAAATGTCGATATTTCCAGCGACGGCTTTATCGGCCTCGATTATGACTCGAGAAACTACCTCCAGCCTCAGTCATGGCCCGTGGCGGTGGACCACCAGGCTTCCCACCGAGCAGAAGGAGCGCGAGACATTTCTCCCTTGCAAACCAGCGGTCACGCATTTGAACAGTCGGTAGCTCACGATCCCAATCTGTTAGTCGACTGGCAATTTCAGCACATGCAACCCCACCTTCAGTACTCTCATGAGGAAGCCTCCTCCGCTCCTCAGTTCACGACCGCAAGCTATGGGATGCCCATCCACTCGTCCCCCATTGATTTAATCTCTACCACACCCCAAGGACAATTGAGCGGGGGTCTCTTAGACGGTCCATATCTGCCTCTATCCGCACCGGTTGACATGGTTCCTTTTCCTTATCAAGATCTGCAATCTGACTTCATGGCCTTTCCGTCCGATGGCCTGGCGCATGGCCTACCTGAGATTCCCTCGTACGCCGCGCCGCAGAACGTAATAGACAGCAGCTCGCCCGCGGACACGTACTTGGAGGTCCGTTCGTTGGCCAGTTCGAGCAGCGACAATGGCTGGAGCACTATTGAGCCGCGCCGCTCGCATGAGTACTTCCCCGACCAAGGTTTCTTCATCAATCCCACACAGACATTGCATGATAGGAGCCTCTCGGAGTCATCATATTCAACGTCATATGGCAGCTTTGTAGAGATTTCGAATCCAGTTAACTCGCCCAGTTCGGACACCAACTTTGACGCCGCCTTCAATAACACAATGACCCGACGTGTGTCATTCGACCATACCTCGCATGGCTCGCAGTCACCGACTGCGGTCAGCCCTGTGGCCATTGTGCGACCTATTCCAGTCCCCATCAAGAAGCCCTCATCACCTACACGGTCAACCGGGTCACAAGCCTCGTCTACGTCTCCTCCTACAAGGAAGCCATCCCGCAAGAGCCCTATTGCTGCCAAGACTGCCGAGACAAAAGTTCGGAAGCAGTCGCAAAATGGAAAGCCAGAAACCGAGAAGCGTGTTGGAAAGCGGAAGGGCCCGCTCAAGCCAGATCAGCGGAAACAGGCCAGCGAGATCCGCAAGTTAAGAGCGTGTCTCCGTTGCAAATTCTTGAAGAAAACTGTAAGTAGTCCGTCTAATTACTGATACGGCGAGCCCTGAGACAGTTGACTGACCGTTAAAATAGTGCGACAAAGGCGAACCCTGTGCTGGCTGTCAACCATCGCACGCTCGGCTCTGGCAGGTGCCATGCACCCGCATTGACATTAAGGAAATTGGCTACTTCATGAAGGACTGGAAAGCTGACTACGAGCGTCATATCAAGCTTGGGTTCTCAGTAGACAATATCAAAGGATTCTCAGAGCATGAGAGGACTCTCTTCATCACCCATGGCTATGGTCAAATTCTTCCCATCAATGCTCGCGAGGTTTATGTGCACAACGATGAGTGCTTCAGTGTCGACTGGGTAGAGACGTACAACCGAGGACCCACGAAGTTCGAGGTGGAAACCGCTAAGCTTTCTGCTGGAATGGAAGGGATTTCAACCGCTATGTTATCTGATTATCTCGATCGCCATATCGATGGAAACGGTACTTTCGAGAAATTTGTTGATGATTACTTTGAAGGTACTCCGTTCCTGACACAAATGCTGAAGACCGCGTTCCGGTTCTATTACCGCACAAAGATGCCGGTGATCCGCAAAGCCTTGAAGCTTATCATTGCCTACAATCTGACGCTCCATGTCACGTTGGTCGAAGGCCTGGGCGAGGAAGAGCCACTTCTTGGAAAGATTACAGCAGAGAAGTCAAAGTTCAAGGGCAAGACATTGGCGCCGGTAATGATTAACTTCCAAATCAAGTGTGCTATGGCAAACATGTGGCGTGAGTTGCAAAAGGATGTTCTGGAAGAGCTCTCTAGCCTCTATTCCAGCGTCTACAGTGGAGAGAAGCTGAAGAACTGGCCAACAATCTTCATCCTTGCATCCATTCTTTTGGCCGTATGGGAAGAGATGCAGTTCGACTGCCATTACCGCACTCCTGTAAGCTGTCTTTGGGATAATATGGGATTTTGCAGAGATGCTAACGGTTGCCAGGATGCTGCCCAGGTCGAGAAATTCTGCAACGACATGGAGACTACCCCCGTCGGAGTTATTGTTGGCTTGTTCCAGGCGATTTCGCAGAAACTCCCCGCATTCACCGAGTGGGAAACACAAAAGCACCACCACCTGCTGCACTCGAACCCGGATGTTTGCAGCGCAATGACAGAGGTTCGCCAACATGTCAAGGATCACGGTAAGAAAGTCGGATGCCGCGCAGCGTATTTGTCTTGCTAACCTCCATCCAGAGAGCTATCTCCGTAGCCGCTCCAATTTGAAATTTAACCGCAACGACTTTGACTGTTTATCGAATAAGTTTGTTTCAAGACTTGTTGTCCGCGCCAATTAAACGATAAGTTATGAGAATGATGGTACATTGCGCTTGTTTTTCTCACGGCTTCTCAAAGATGACGGCATCGGCACGGTATGAAACTATGAGATATGCCGGCATTCACGATTATGACTCGCATTAAGCCATTAGCAACTACGATCGTTCTATCCATTCTTGTTTTCCGTCTCGGTCTTCTCTACATATATTTTTTTTATTTTTATTTTTTGTTTTTGCCAGTCTAGCCTAAAGCTTACCTGTTGTCTCTTGCGTTGTTTCAACTTACACACTCTTTTTGCTTCTAGTGGTGTACCTTTCTCGCACAGTATTATAAACAGCGATGATGAGGATCACGAATGTCATGATATTGTATGGTCACGAAATGTTTTCCAGCAGCAAACGATGAGCGCAACCGAGTTGCCGACGTATAGTGGAGGCTAGTTCCCGCTTATGATGCTGCTTTTTTGCATTTATGTGCCTGGTTAGCGTATGTCTGTGTGTGCATTTGTGTTTCCCTTGATTTATCTTGATTCTGATCTTGTTATCTATTATGGGTATTGTATCTCAATATCGGAGTGTGGGAAGGGCTGTGTGGCATGAAGCTTCACTCTTACTGGTTTTACTTGTTTTCCCCCTGTTTTTAATCGAGAGAAAAAAAAAAAGTGTGTTAGCACACTCCGCTGCTCTTGGTTGCCTTGAAGCTAGAGCCAAGTCACAGGGTAATGAATATCATTCTTATACGGACCAACTCGAGGCATACGCTCAAAGTGAGACTCGTACAGAACTTACAGGGTCTAGACATTTGCAACCCCAGCAACCAGTAGTAATAATGCGGTCAACGTAACACTAAAACCGTATAACAATGAGTTGGCCTCTCACCAGCTAATCTATTACAAGTGCTCCCTCGGACTCGGGCGAATTCGGCTATGGCAGCATACCGCCATGTGTCCTGTACGAAGTTTTGACTGCATTGGGCAATTATCCTAAATTTGGGTCTTCCTGTACTACTATTTTGAGAACGAGGCAACGAGGCTTTCCTCACCGTAAACCATAGCCACGTTTACATCTGTGTTGGTTGGCGATCTTTTTTACGTAGTCTCTGCTACTGAGAGTTCCTAAATTTGGACTACGAATTGGTGGCTCCACAGTGGGTATGGTCTAATATGACCAATATGAGGAACTGTGTGACTTGGTATTCAGTTATCCCATTGATCTAAGTACCGCCAATAGAAGGAGCAACATTTGCAATCAATGGTAAGGTGTTCATCGCCAAGGGAAGACCGCACACGCTCCACTGCCAACTCCACCCCGACGGCCCGGAACGCTTGCTGGAATGACTTTCCATCCGGGACTGATGCGCCTAATATCGCGTGCGAAAAGAACGTGGCCGACTGGGCCGTGATGTTCTCTAAGTTCCGTAAGCCTCCAGACATCACCCAGTCGAGAACGATGGATAGTGTTAGCAGATCCGGTCTGCCCCTTTCTCTATACTCTCGGAAACGCAGGGATCGGAGACTCGGGGGGAGGTGACAATTTTGGCGGAGGTGTTTCTCCGCCTCGGGGCTTTGCCCGTCATTATCGCCTCTTAGGACCTTCGGGTCAATGGTGAGGTGTTGGAGGCATTTGAAGTCGCGGAAGTCGAGGGCTGGGCAGTCCGTGTGCAGGTAGAAGTCTAGTTCAAGGCTAAGGGTTTCCAGGGATGTTGGGATAAACCAGGGTCTCTTGGTATAATTCAATGTTTCCGAGCGCAGGCCGGGAATGATGGCTGCTACTATACTCAGCTTCCGTAGCTTGGGATGAAGCAGGACAGTCTCGCGCGAGGAAAAGTACCAAAGTTCGCCCGTTAGATTTTGTAGGGGTGTAGGTGTAAGGTCGTTCATAATCAGCTCGCCTTGAGGCTGTTAGTGTGTGCATGTACAGAATAGGGAGGAGGGGGGCCGGGGGTGTAAAGTGGAATATAGAGTAGCAGACATATTGTTAAGGAAGGCAGAACGCCTGACATCGACTGGGTTGATTGCTGGAAGAGCCAGGACCAGATTTCAGACAGAGCATCGAGCCTTGAACCAGGCTTTCCACGAGGATTGGATAATATTTGTCCTCATTTAGAACGTCTTCAAGATAGTGATAATGGATCACAAGCTCTTGTATGTATTCTACGCGGACCGTCTTACGGTCCATGGCATAAGTGAAGCTTTCTCCGGCATGGTTGCCCAGATAAACAGACCGGTAGAGATAAGGCTCTACCAGCGTTTGAAGACGCCGACATGTCCGCACGAGACTCGCAAGGGAGGCTTGCGATGGGACCTCTTCTAGAATCCCTGTCAAGATCTCTGTAGGCAGATAAAGCAGTTGTGCGGGCGTTGCCATTTGTGAAGTCTGCCCTTGGTGAGTGAATCGTCTCATGGCTCAGGTACAGATCAGCATTCACAGCTGTTGTCACGGATGGTTTCTGTTTCCTCTTCTCACACTCACATCATCAGCATCACACTCCTACAATCCTAGAAGCTACAGCTCTTTCCCTCTCGCGAGACAGTATTGATCTAAATCTCGTCTTCACGGTTTCTTATCCCGAATCAGTTCCGAAGGCTGACAGTAGGCTTACGTCACTATAAAATTGCTAACCAGGCTTTAAGATGGAGGAGCTCTCCTTTGCCAACACCGGGGACGAATCGACCTCGATAGCGACAAATACTTCGTCTCACCCGTCCCGCAGTTGAAATGCTCACGTCATCCGAACTCGCGCTGACGGAGGTATACCCTCCTACCACCTACACAGATATACGAGCGATGAAGAAAGCCGTCGCAGACACAAGAAATAGACTGATCACCGAAGACATCAACCAGTATCTATCCTTCAAGCATGTTTCGCCGAAGGATTTCAGTTTTATCGACGCCCACCGGAGGCAACTAGGCGCAGTCCGGTTTACATACTTTCAAGATATTAGCACCCTCATAATTAAGGTCCCTACCCGCGCACACGAAATTGCGCATAGAATTTTCGAACGAATGATTTCGAGTCAGTTTGGCGCTATGAACATCGGTATCGACCAGTTTCTGTCCCTGGGGTCCACCCTCTATGTGGGGCCAACCGCCTCGAAAAAAGAGGGGGACAGTGCATTCACGAACTCTGTCTTACGACCTCTCGAGAGTGACTGGCCGGCCCTGGTAATAGAAGCTGGGGTATCTGAATCCATGCCCCGCCTGCGGCAAGACGCCCAATGGTGGATTTCCAACTCGGAGGGAAAAGTTCATATCGTTCTACTTATCAAGGTGACAAGGAATGCCAGGAGCATGGTATTTGAAAAGTATGTGCCTGAGGTTTTGATGTTCAGACAACCGCGAATCTCGGCGCCACATAGCTATCGGGCTGTGTTGGTCTCCACCACTGAGGTTCATCAAGGAGCGAACCCCCCCTACGTTTCGGGTCCCCCAGTTATACTAGAATTTCAGCGTGTTCTATGTAGACCACCTGTGCCCCCTGAAAGGGATATTCAACTCGGGCCCGCTGAGCTGCTGCTCCTAGCTCGTCTAGTCTTCCCCCATTGATTTGACCTACATAGTACAAGGGGAGAAAACATATCCACCTTAACTATGGTGAGATGAGTTACCTTAATATGTGATATCAAAAAGGGTCTCATTGGTTCTGATAACTATCTAATGTCATATTCATTCATCAGAACCCTGCTTAATGTTCCTAGTTACCTTGAGAATTGCTATACCACTAGGAGAATGGAACAATCACTTCTATTAAACAATCCTCATCATGCAACGACCTCAAAATACCTTAAAAACTCCGGGTCCTTCCTGAGCATCTCATGCTCCTCAACCTCTACCTGCACTAAAACCTCAAAGACCCTCGTTGCTCCGCTCGAAAAGTTCGGTAAGATAACCGCGCAAGCTCCGGGAAGGGACAAAGGAACCCGAAATGCAACAGGTCTCAAATCCCCCCCAATATCGTACTTTTTGGCGTTCCCTGAGTACCAGGTATTCATGAACACGTCCATCTCACTGAAGTCTGCCTGGGAGCCCAGTGTCTCCGTCGGAGTGAGCGACTTTATGAGGGAGGTCATGTGGCTGATCGTGGATAGGTTGGTGGAGTTTATAGATTGACGAATTAGGGTAGCTGCAGCTGCGAGACCACGGTCACTACCTGAAACTAGGGCTTCCGCAGTAGTAGGGCCTGCTTGGGACCCGATGACAGCGTTGCCAAAGTAACGCTCAGAAGTTTTCTTCTCTGGATCGCGAGTGCGGACATCGATGGGGTGAACGAAACGGGAGGGCAAGGAGGATTTTTCTGGGTGCAGATTGAGCCGGGCACGTGTAATCGACGTCCAGGCAAGTGCAGATATGCAGTCGTACGAGGTTATGTAGGCTACCTCGGTCAGATATGGGGTGCACCGTGCTTTGAGCTGTTGTATGGATGGCTCAGAGATCCTGTATATGCTTGATCGGAAGGTAGGTGGCGGCTTTAGTTTCAATTGACTCTTCTCCATGACGTAGAACATTGGGAGCTTTTCCAGATGTTCTTGCCTGGAGAAGGTTGAGCCGGTCTCTGGCGCGTTGTATGGAGCTCTGTTGAGGTCTAGGGTGTAGGTAGGCATTTTCAACTCTTCCCGATGTGCCTTACAGCTTTGACAGATAAGAGACACAAATGTATCAATGGCAGACCAGTCTCCAGCCGCGTGATTTATCAACAACCCTAGAATCAGGCCACCCTCCACGAGACTTAATTGAAGAGCGCAGACCTGCTTTGGGGACGCTGGTTCCTCCGGTAAAAACTCGGTAAAGTCCATATTATCTGGAGAAAATGAGTCCTGGGCTAGGGCGGAAAGCGATCTTTGTTCCTTGGGCTCAAACCGGCGAATGTTGAGTTTGACCTGGCTTCCTGGGGGTACCACGATGCAAAGTTTACCATACTCGTTGAATTCCAGGTTCCCTGCCATGAAAGGCAGTTGGCTGGTCGCGTTCTTTACCCCTTCCGCCAGGGAGGTGATCAATCTGTCTGGATCAATGGTGGTTTGGAGCTCATAGAATAGTAAGACTTTCACGGTCTTCGTGATACCGATTTTGTCCATATCGGACAGCTCATACTTCATGTCACCCATGGCTTGACACACAGTCATAAAGATCCTGATCGGGCTAAGATTAGCATAGACTGAAAATAGGAAGAAGAGAGGTAGATGGTTGAATTCTTACTATTCTCAAGAATATACTATATCTTACGCTGATCCTTAAACACCTCGAGCTATGTTTATTTTTCCAGCAGAATTTGCACCGTGAGGGTAAAGTCCATTTGAGTGAGCATATACAACTATTTATATCTTATTTTATATCCATAGCCCACATAAGCCTACTAATCCCAAATGGGGTGCCCGATGGTCTGGCGGGGATTATGTTCAGGCAACCAATATTAATTGATCACCGTTTTTTTCAGGCCACAAATTTCTTATTACTGTTCCACATAATCGATACTCAGCTACACCCAGAAAGCAAAGAATAAGCAATGATGGCCAATTCTCTGCTTAAATTTGAAATAGAGTTTGTCAATTGTTTCCGGCGTATATCGAAGAAGCGGATTCAAGTATGCCATACGAACTGTACAATAACCTATTAGCTAGCTCATTTTCTAAGCTGGACAATTGAGCGACTTTGACCGGGTGAACTACGGTGGTGGCGGTTATAGTAGTGGCTGATTTTCTTCCTGGCTGTAAGGCTTAGCTTCTAAGAGGAGCTGTAAAGAAATTGCATAACTCCGGAGAACTTGGCTGCCAACTACTGGCGGTTCATTGTTTATCAGTCCTCGTCCCGGCTTCTTCCTGAGAGAGATTGGAAAGGGCAGTCAAATATTATGTTATTGGTTTTATGACAGCAACACCCTAAGATTTAAATCCTCCGAGGGTTTGGTCTTCATGTAATACTTGAGATGAAAAATGGATTCTAGATTATCTAGCTGCAAGAGTAGCGTCTCAGCTATATCCACCAGGCCATTTCAACCTACCATCTAAATAGCGCATAGTAGTAGATGCCTCCATAATCTATAGATCAATTGAAACAGTACGTAGAAAGAAGCTAATTATAGGTAGGCGTCAGCAAATAGTCGAAGTGTTGCTATCCTGGGCTTGTACAAGTCATCCCACTAATATAGTTCACTTAGTTAGGTACTCTCAGTGATTGACTAATCATTGTACCTGCCTATTCAGGAGTGGAGAATTGCCGGATGCGCAAGGTCGATCACCTGACCCTCCTGCCGTTAGCGCTGGCCGGGGCCGTCTCAGTGACCCAACTATTAGGCTACTAAGAGTGTCCACTGCCCCCTCTCGGGGCGATAAGCCCGGATTTCACACGTCATCGCTACTTGCAGCGACACCGCGCAGGAGGTCGCAGGAGTTGGGACACAAAAGTTTATCACCTTTCTAAGACACCTTCATGAAGAAAATAAGTTAGCAGTTGCCACAAGCGTGCAGAGTAACAAAATCTTCAACATCAATACGGTTTCCATTATAGGTAACGAAGGAAAATGGAAAATTTCCGTTTGAAGATGCCGGCTGGTGGCGTCAGTGGCGGGTACGGACGGAATTGTCCCCTACTCCATCCTTAAACTGATAATGAGTCTTCCCCAAGGTATGGATGACACAATTTCTTCGGTTTCCGTCGTTCTCAGCCACCATTCTAGTGAAAACTTTGAAGCCAGTAGTCCACTTTGCACTCTCGCAGTACCATAATCGCATGTAGAAGCCAACAAGTAGGAGTCGATAGCGAGTCGACTGAGTCATCCGCCGGAACACTTCTAGCAGTTTCCCCAAGTTCCACTGAGAAATCGCCGGGCGGAGGAAGAAAGGATCGCCCTCTGACTGGCCGGAAGAGGAGGAGAAAGTGCCAGGAGATGCCAGAATCCTAAGGTTCAACCGGCGCTTATCCATTTAAGAGTGAATTGACCGCCATGGTCCGTCCTTACATCACGTTATCGACCTATCACTGACCGACCCTGACTGACTAAGGCGCTTCGCCTCCTTTGCCTCTCCCCTCATCTCTCCTGACCACCTACTTAAACTGCTCTTCCTCCTTCTCGCCTTCTAACTTCTTCATCCTTCATCATCCTCTCAGTCACTGCGGCTGTTGCCAACCTACCTGTCTCCCAACGTCTCCTAGAATACTCCTTACTACCTTCTATACCACTGAAAAACTTTCATCGCGGTCATCATGCAGATCTTCGTCAAGACTCGTGAGTATACCTTGACTCCCATTCTCCAGTCTTGCGCCACTTGGCACCCTCTAACACTCACTTCGTCTAGTTACCGGCAAGACCATCACTTTGGAGGTCGAGTCGAGCGACACCATCGATAATGTCAAGAGCAAGATTCAGGATAAGGAGGGCATTCCTCCTGACCAGCAGCGCCTGATCTTCGCTGGCAAGCAGCTTGAGGATGGCCGTACCCTCTCTGACTATAACATCCAGAAGGAGTCCACCCTTCACCTTGTTCTTCGTCTCCGTGGTGGAATGCAGATATGTATGTTCTCTATTGCCCTGTTTGCCACTTGCAACGATATCAAGTTATAGGCTTACTAACTGATCTATGTATAGTCGTGAAGACCCTCACTGGAAAAACTATTACCCTCGAGGTCGAGTCGAGCGACACCATCGACAATGTTAAGAGCAAGATCCAGGACAAGGAAGGCATTCCTCCCGACCAGCAGCGTTTGATCTTCGCTGGTAAGCAGCTCGAGGACGGTCGTACTCTGTCGGACTACAATATCCAGAAGGAATCTACTCTTCACTTGGTTCTGCGCTTGCGTGGTGGTATGCAAATATTCGTCAAGACTCTCACTGGAAAGACAATCACACTGGAGGTTGAATCATCCGACACGATCGACAATGTGAAGTCAAAGATTCAAGATAAGGAGGGCATTCCCCCTGACCAGCAGCGTCTCATTTTCGCCGGCAAGCAGCTCGAAGATGGTCGCACTTTGTCCGATTACAACATCCAGAAAGAGTCTACATTGCACTTGGTCCTTCGTCTTCGTGGTGGTATGCAGATCTTCGTTAAGACACTCACCGGCAAGACTATCACCTTGGAAGTTGAGAGCTCGGACACTATCGATAACGTTAAGTCGAAGATCCAAGACAAGGAGGGTATTCCCCCAGACCAGCAACGTCTTATCTTTGCTGGTAAGCAGCTGGAGGATGGACGCACGCTCTCCGACTACAACATCCAGAAGGAGAGCACCTTACATCTGGTCCTACGTCTCCGTGGTGGACACTAATGTCTTGTTTGATTTTCTGCTATCGCGACTCAACTGGGTTGAGTAGCCATGCATGGCGTTCGGTTGGTTCTAGGCTTTTATGAATATGTTTCAACAGCATACTGCTTTCTGTATCACTACACGAGGTTGTGGTGCATTACATAGTTCAGTCCTTATTATCTACGATCCTTCTCTACAATGAATAACGACCGATTCTGTTCGGTATATTATGCTACACATTCTGGCTTGGTATAGAGCGGTGTCTTGAGAATTCGTAGATCGTAGGCTCCTTGTCTTGTTTCTTTGTATTAATATGTGCAAAAACTATCGTAGCTATTCGCGAACGCGAAAGGAGTTGAAGTTCAATAGTAGTATCTCATGCCGATTGACGTCGCAGCCGTTATCGCATCCAGTTTGCCACAGCTCCCTATCACACGTGACAATTGGCTTGCGGAAGGCGGGATGGAACTCGAGCTACGGAGTGAATGTTCTAGACAAACAATCTGAAGAGTTTGAAACTTGTTGTCGTAACAACTCGCAGAATCCCAGCGATGTGAGCATCGGTCGGGATGCCCTCATATTTTTACCACATTGCGATTGAATTATTTGCACGCCCATCATCTGGCCCCAGACACGCCTTCCATAGTGCAGACGATCAATCCGCAACATCGCTATCCTTTGACTCCATATGTGAAGCTTTACAGCCATTTCAGAAGCGGTCGCGACGCTCAGCCCGCCATCATTCGAACGGAAAATTTTCAAGCGCTTCGACGCTTCTTTCTAGTGACGCTTGCAGCCCAAACTCCTTGGCTCCGACTGTACATCCCACTGCCCCTCTCCTTTATACGAAATCGCTGACCAGCGCCCCCAATTTTGAGAAGGACCCGAGATTGGATAAACTTTCAGTCGAGTGCATTGATATGATACCTACGGACCAGGAGGCAATAGTCCCGAAGCGGACTGGTAGACGAAGCGATCTCAGGGATAACCCCGTTGCAACGGGGATCGGCACTGATATTCTGGGAGGTCTACGTACGAAGGGTAAATATATACCACTCGATCAACAGACCTCCGATAGTGTCTGGGGAATTGTGCATTTGTATCGAGATGCACAGGAGACGCCGTATCTAGTTGAGGAGGATTATCCTTCGTACCTGAAAGGATCCGCTGCTGCAAGACAACCGTACGATGAACTGGGCGGGGGCTCTAACCCACGTCAGGACGTACATGTGGAGGAACATTCTTCCCTCTTGTATCCGGACGATGACTGCACGACTTTGTGTATACTCGCCGTTCCGTCATATATGTCACCATCGGATTTTCTGGGATTTGTTGGTGAGGCAAGCATGGATGACGTGAGCCATTTCCGGATGATTAGGACCGCCAGAGCCAATCGGTATATGGTTCTGTTGAAATTCCGCAGCGGGAAGAAAGCCAAGGAATGGCAGAAAGAATGGAATGGGAAGGTCTTCAATAGCATGGAGGTGAGTGTTACTCCCTAATTGCATATCTTGGCACTGATTTCTTATCGTTCTCTCAAAAAGCCTGAAACATGCCATGTCGTATTCGTGAAAACAGTGGAGGTTCAAGCCGTGGATTCACAAGCACAGCACGGGGGTACGGCTACTCATCAGAACTCTCTCTTATCTCATCCTGCGACTAGTCCCCAGCGTGCAACCATATCCGCTACGGGACAATCCAGCACTATACCATCAGCCACACTATCTACGAGACCTCTAGCGCCTCCCACACCGGCCCTTGTCGAGCTGCCAACATGCCCTGTCTGTCTAGAACGCATGGATGAGACCACTGGCCTGCTTACGATAATCTGTCAACATGTTTTCCATTGTACATGCCTGCAGAAGTGGAAGGGTAGTGGGTGTCCCGTCTGTCGCTACACACAAGACGAGTTCCGCAGAAGCAGCCAGGGCTCACTCTATGAAGACGAACCGGCCGAATGCAGCGTGTGCCATTCCGACATCAACCTTTGGATTTGCTTGATCTGCGGAATTGTCGGTTGCGGTCGCTACGACGGCGCGCATGCATTCGATCACTACAAAGAAACCTCCCACGCGTTTGCCATGGATCTCGCTACGCAACGTGTCTGGGACTATGTGGGTGACGCATATGTTCACCGCATCATACAAAGCAAAACCGACGGCAAACTTGTAGAGCTCCCGGCTGCGGATAACAGTGCACTCGACCCACCGGACTGGACAGATGCAGTACCCCGGGAGAAACTAGAAAATATGAGTGTGGAGTACACTCATCTACTCACAAGCCAGCTTGAGAGCCAACGGGCATATTTTGAGGAGATTGTCGAGCGAGCTGTTGACAAGGCATCCCAGGCCAGCGCAGCCGCAGCTTCGGCGCAGGAGGCAGCTGAGAAAGCCACCGCGAACTTTCGCTCATTACACACACAATACGATAAACTGGAAAATGAGACATTACCCAACCTCGAGCGAGACAAGGCCCGTGCCGAGAAACGTGCAGAGAAGTTCGAGGCGATGGCGCGCAAAATGGAAAAGGAGTGGCGGGAAGAAAAGACTATGAATGAAAGTTTGATGCAGCGCATTGAACACCTGACTTCCGAAGTGGAAGGCCTTAAAGCGACCAATGCAGACTTGACCGAGCAAAACAGGGATCTCACATTCTTTATTAGCGGCTCTGAACGGCTGAAGAATGAAAGCGAGGATATCGTCCAGGGTACTGTCAGTGTTCCTGAACCCCAGACTAACAAGAAGAAAGGCAAGGGGAAGGGACGAAGATAATCATTGGGGGCGCAACTGTAGCGGCTCTGACCAAGCCGTTCTCACTCCCTTTACACATCCGAACAGTATGACTGTTGGGATCAGCCCGTTTACTTCGTATGTGGAATCCTTGAAGGAAATCCCAGATATGTCGCGAAGCACACTGTTCAATTCAATTGAAAGTCGACCTAATATCGCCGCCCAAAATGCTCTCGGCTTGAAACATGCAGATCTAAACTGGGCACAAGCAGTTCTACGGCTACACGCCATGTGCAACAATGCCCGTGCACTGGAAGATCGGTCGTACGATCGCAGTCTCCGATTGCTACTTACGTAGATGTGGCACGAGCCAGTTATGGCGTGTTTGCGCCTTACTTTACGAATAATGACGAATATTCATACCATAGCCTGATTCATAAAGCTCATTCATTTGCTTTCTCTATCTGTAATCTACATTCTTATATACACACACACAATAATACTGTTTTACAAGGCTCAGATGCACCTTACTATAACCCATAACCTAGCTGAACGGAAAAAAGATCGAAGTACTCACTCAAAGCCCCTTCCTGATAGCCCAGAAATAGTTTCCCCAGTACTCCGATCCAGGAACCAACTTCCAGCCTATACCAGGGAAATACATCACTCCAGAGCACTTCCACCTCATACCTTGCAATGCATCACCTCCAGCACGCAGCGCCGTTCCATCCTGACTCCGCATCAGGCCCTCCTGAGCCCAAGCATACAGCTCATCGGGATTAACAAACTTGCTCCACTCGTGCGTCCCCTTCGGCACAACACCAATCGGCCACGGCGCCTCAGCAATGACCTGGTTGACGAGAAACGAGGGGAAAGTGCGCGCAATAGTCGACCCAACCAACCATCCACCAGGACGAAGAACCCGAAGACAATTCGTCAGAAAAGCAAGAGGCGACGAAGTGGCATTGGAGTCGACATGCTCGAGAACCTCAAAGAGGGTGACTATGTCGAATTTCTCATCCTCGGGCGTCTCACGCAGTGATGCGACGACGTCCTCCAGCGTGCAGTTCTTGTAAGTGAATTTGCCGTCGCGGAGGTGCGTTTCGACTTTGGGGTCCACGCGAGCATGGTCGCGGGCGATTTTGATGAGCGCTGAGGTTGGGTCGATGGCGGTTATGGAGGCTGCTTGGGTGACTGTTTGAGAGGGGCTGTTGGCGTTCGTGGGGATCGTGCGGGCCAAGGATTCGGCGAAGATGCCACCGCCGCAGCCGACGTCGAGGTAACGGAGGTTGTTGACTGGGGTTGGGGTGGAGGTTTCGGGTGCGCTGGCGCGTGGTGGTGGGAGGCTGTCGAATAGACAGGATGCGATGAAGTCATGGCGGAGGGGGTTCATGAGATGGAGGACCCGGCTGGGGCCCATGGGATCCCACCAGCTGCTGGCGAGGGAGGAGAAGTGAGATAGCTCATCGGCGGAGACGGAGGTGGAGTGCGCTCGGTGAGGGAAGTTCAGATGGCGGAGGAGGGAGGTAGCCTTGCGGAGGGTTGGTCGGATTTTGGACATTTTGGATTATGGTGGATAAGGCTATTGCTTTTTGTCTTTTTCCCGTTTGATTTAAAGTGATAATTTCGTTGCGGTGTCGGTGATGATCAACGGTGCATTGGCTTTTCAAGGATATGAGATCTGTTAAGCAGTTAGATTTTTGCATTAGACTGCAAAATAACATGATAGTGTGCATACTTTGGTTTCCCAACAAGGCGCATCATCAATTGGTTGACATTGCTGCGCTTCTCAATCTCTAAATGATAAGACAAGCCGAGAATTGGAGATTGAAGCTTTGAACTGCTATCGCGAATGCGATGTTGGCATTGCGAACAAACATGCCAAGAACTTATGTCATCCCTTTCTCATTGTTTACTTGCTCGTAGCTCTACAGCAACATACATACTGTACATTAGCTGCACATACACGCATCCCGATCCCATAATTTGGGCTCTACTAAACGACTGACTACAAGCTCAAGGGACACAGCCATTGACAGAGTCTACTCAGTACCCATTAATATTAGCTAGCCTTGCTCTCCGTCCATGACCCTCGCGACGAGTTACCCCAAATAAGTGACCTAATGTACCACACACCGACTCTCGACCATCAAGCCTCTAGAACCCTGCTAAAAGGGGTGACCATCTCCAACGGAAACCTGCCGCCGTTCATTCCAAGCTAGGCAAGAGGTGGTCGTACCGTACCGAGCTAACTATCTGACGGACTGGGCGGATTGTGCATCCATCGCATCCCTTTAATCCACCCGGTGGGCCCTCCGTGCCCACTCGATAGTTCTACGGCCCTTCCAGAAACATTCCGTGTCTGGTCATATGCGCCCCATAGCTCGAGTCAATTTGTCGGTCTGGGCAGCTCTGGTCTGGCTTGTCTGTTCTACGGAAACATAGCCCACATATCCGGGATGATCATCCATCTCGTTAGGGAGCATGTTGCTGTTCGGTGAGGTAAGCGAAAGAAGAGTGGATCGTGGACTAGTTGTTGGGAGCGTTCCTTGCATTAACGACTTACGTATATAGTACTCGGTATGTTCGTTGTACTACAAGTTGAGCTATTATTTTTGCTCTAGGCTACTGACTGTTTAGTCGTACTTTAGGGGTGTTTCGTTAAGGGATGGCGTTGTAGCCTTAAAGTCTATTCTCTCTTCTCGGTATGTCGTGGACTTCCCTTGTATGCCTAGACACAGCATCTGTTTGAGAAGGTTTGGGTGGAACAAAAGAAAACATCTCATGAGCATTTCATTCATGTCTTTGGTGCCAGCAACAACTCCCCCTTCCCCCCTTTCGAGTCCTGCTGTATCACGCACGGAATTATACACAATGTGGCTGAACTTTCGCTGGCGCCGAAACATGGATGAGGCTGTAAGAACCAGATCCCCGGCTCCTTGGCCATTGTCTGATCAAATCCAATGCACGAACCTACGTACCATCCAGTCTTTTTCCCAGGGCTGACATATGCACCTTCCCGGTCCGGCTCGAGAAAGAAGTTCCCAAGGTACAAAGTACTTCTGACTGTTACATTAATCACGTGATACTTGTAGTATGATCCAAACAAATGGAGCATATAGCGGAGTTGACCCATGACCGTACCACCACTGGCCACGATGACGTTAGAAAGCAGAGTGAACTACGGGAGCTGATCGCCTTGTGTAATCTATACATTGCAGACCCGTTGACGGGTAACCCAGCCCCGTCCGTAGTAAGATATATATATAAATAAAGATAAAAAAAAAAAAATCCCTCCCTATTCTTGCCCGGGAAAAGACCACTAGAGGCAGATTTGAAACCGGCCAAACAGCCCGTTGCTAATGAACAAGATACCATTTGTCCAATGATAACCCTGGGTCATTATTGCGATCTCAATAAACTCCGTCCTCAAAAACTATGGACGAGCGTCATGCGTCCATCCGTCCCTGCCTCCAGCCACATCTCCGGGACCCCGAGCGCCCCTGACTCTGGCGTCGCCCTATATATTTGACCAATAAATTTGGTGGGAAACCCAGGGTAAAAAGGAGACGTGGGTCCCACTGAATCATTGATTCACAACCAACACGGACTTCTGCAGCGAAACTTATGATATGATGATGACTTCATGTCAATCGTTGACGTCGACGGTCACGGCGCAGTCGATATGTGAGCCATGTAACTTCGCTTCCAAGAGAGAGGAAACAAACCAAAAATAAAAGAAAAAATAAAGGAGGAACCCTCTTTTATTCGAAGCAAAGACTGTACTAATGTTTCTGTTCGGTTTCGCATCTGTTTAAAACCAAAAAAAACCAGGCCACCACGGTGAGAGAGGGTGGTGGGCAAATGACCGTGATACGCCCCAGGCACCAGGGGACCTGACCACCCATCACGTCTCAAACCAAGCGTCAGAGTGGGTTCCAGCGTTACGCAGCCGCAACGGCACATGCGATGGACGCTTTAGAAGGCTTCCATCGTTGTTCCAAACTTTTCTAGAAGGTCTGCGGAATACCGGATTCGCTTGGCAGGCAAACGAACAGCTCTAACTTGCAGGCAGGATCCCGTTAGTGCGGTGGCTGTGGAGCCCCTCTGCAAGAAAAGGAGAAGCCGTCGTGAGATGATGAGTCCCAAAATCCTGAGTGCGTGGGAACCACTGTCGCAGCCTCCTCCGTCAGGTCCGTACACTAGCAGCACTAACCTGACTAGTTGCAGCCCGACTAAGGCGAGATGGAACTAGGCGGTAGTGCGTTACCCGCACCATAATTGTCCCCACGGCGCATTACCGCCCTCCCCTTCGTAATCTTTTCAACTTACCCATCCCTGTCGGTTTTCTGTTCGCGCTGGAGGTGATGTGATAACATGCAGCCAGATGTGACACGCATTATTTTTTTTTTTTTTGGCCTTTCCCCCAAGACCGAGGCAATATTGTCCCTGCAGGCATTATCATGTATGTGCGCTCAGTGCATCCGTACATGCGGTCATGTACATTATACATACCGTTCAAAATGTGATACGGAACTTCTGTACTCCATATCCGGATCTTGCGTGGGTCAAGGTTCCCTCGCCAAAGCTAAGGATCACATCCGATTCCCCATTATTCGAACCTTTCTAGAAGGAAATTAACTTTCCCATCGGTCGTTCTAATCTCAGGCCATGTTCGACACCCTTCAAAAGGGGGTCCCATCGGTTGGGGTTAGCCGCGATGTTTATTGGTCATATCATGTATTATGATCTAAGTTAGTGAAGTACCTCCGCCCTGAAATTTCGTCGAGAAGAGAGCAGAGGATGAGGAAGGAGGGGGCACTGGTCGACCGATGTAGGCTGCCTTATCCTTTGTATTAGAAATTATAATATTTTTTTGGGGTGTCTCTTTTTCTTTTCTTTTTCTACCGTCACTTCGATTCCCGTGTCCGACTGATTCGGAAGGATTTTCCAACGGTGGTCTCCTTGAAAGGAATTGTACCAGTATAGAGCAAAACCAACGCTGTAAGTAGGAGATATGCACTGATGATCTTGACGCTGTCCAATGTGATAGGTGCGAAGCATGCAGGCATTTGCAGGTAAATGGCCGCACGATAATTGCGAGGTGCATGACAGCACACACTGGTCACTCCAAAGAGTTGGGCTAACTTTTTGGTTTTTGGAATCGAATGATTATGGAACCCTTGAAAGGTTCTGGGGTAGGGTAAGGGTAAAAAAAAAAAAAAAAGTAAGCTTCTAAAGGGGGGCACGCGCTTTTCATCTCGGTTCCTGGCGATGGCCTCCAGTCCCGTTATGATTGGCCCCCGACCTTCTTGCGTTATGCAGTATGAAAGCCGTGATGATGCTTTTGGGATCATCGGCCGAACCAAACAAATAGGTGGTGTTCTTCAGCATTACTGGGCGTTGGTATGTATCTCCCGTACACGCACACTGGAGCAGAAATAGAATAAAATATTATTCATTCAGATCGGCACCAAGCCGTATCCACCTCAAGAGCGATTCTCGCACGGCCAGAGAGACGGGGAAAGCCACGTTGTGGAGCCGGAAGCGCGCTGAAGCCTGAAGGTGACCTTCGAGCTTTCGTTCGGTCGGGTTCGACTGGAGCCACTTGGGGGTTTTAGTGGAAACGTGCGAAGCTGTAGTAGTCTCCGTACACTAGGCCGCAAAGTCCTGAACTAGTAGTCAGTAATAAGTCTAAGAATAATAATAATAAATCAAATAATAGAATAATAATAATAATAAAAAAGATAGTACTAATAATACTACCATTTAATTTCATGCTAACTTACCTGAACCATAATAAAAGAGGCACCAGTCGTACGGTGTGGCTTTGGGAAGGAATCCTTTTCTCCTTCTACAAGAGAAGCAATTTGTAAAGTTGGAACTTCAAATACTTGTTTATTTTTATTTTTTTTTGTTTGGGGACCGTTAAGTTTTCCCTTCCCTTACTACGACAACATTATATACCTTAATACCAATAATACCGAGACCGTCATTTTACTTACTTCATCTTCCGTCACCTTCTCCAAAACCTCCGAACAACTTTTTTTTTATTCCCTCAATATCATCATCATCCTTTTTTTTTTTATTTATTTTATTTTTTATTTATTTTTATTTTTTTCTATTTTCTTTTCTGGCCCATCCTTTTTTTTTAATTTGTCTCTTTTATTATTATTATTATTATTATTATTATTATTCTCATCCGACTGGATAAGGGGTATAAACCACTTCTCGATCTCTTTTTATTCTCTTTTTCCCCCTCCCCCTCTGTTTAAATAAAGTCCGTGAGGCGTTATCCAACCGGAGCGTTCATCTACTGTTTTCCACCCCCTCCGCCATTGGAAGCCCAATCGAGCCGCCAAACTTCAACCCCAATTTTTTCTATTTGACTCGAATTCCACGCGCTGTTTTCTCCTACTGCGTCGTGAAATCTTTCGTCCAAACAGCGCATACTTCCTCAACGACCTCTTCCAGTAAGTGCTTTCGTCGTACACATGAAGTTCGTTCTTCGCACCGCAGTTTCCCCGCTGGTTGGTCCCGATGACGCCGATGAAAGATGCCTTATATTTTCCCACGTTTTCTTCCCTGGTGAATACGTGCAATCGCTTCCTCACTGGCTTGGTGCGAAGACTCAGGGTGCTTCCGAAATCAACCCTATGGCTTTGTCGCTGAGGGAGCATGTTCATCGGATCTGCTCAGAACCCGTCCTCGTCTCAGCAGAGGAGGGCTTGCGGCTTCGCACTCAATAACAAGGGCCTTGCATGAAACGATCGCTCGTTCAAAGCGAAACGTGCTAACATGGTTGTGTTTGGTTAATAGGACACGCCGACCTGCTTCGTTCCCTGTCGCGAATCTATCGCTCTTTGCGCCCTTTGAGAACGCATTCTGCTTTTGAAGAGTACACAAAACAGGTGACCAGAAACGTTGGAATCACCCCGTCGGCGACTTCTTCCTGGACATCCGGATATTCCTCTTTACAATCTCCGAGGTCGCGTGGCGGTGGAACTTGTCCCAGGGATTGGTGTGATCCTGCGATCTTGAAAGTTCAAGAAGAATCTGGTCGAGATTTCGATTTCCCTCTCGAGCAGCACCCGCTATTACTCCAGAAAAATACATCTTCCTGCGCTGTCCGACGAGGCTTACATCGTGTCTCAGTCTGCCTGTGATTTCTGAACCAACTTGTGGAGACTACAGTGAGCATAACGCCCCGGAGTCCGGCAGGAATATCGAGGAAATTAGAAGCTCAGTCCTCTGGTAGGAGTGAAACTGTCCTTCGATTGTTTAGTTTTCGGGATTGAAACTATATCAGAGCCCGAAGTTACCCCTGCCTTCGTTGCTCACATTCTTGGTTGCGAAACTTTGGAAACCTCGCCCACGGGGGTAAATTTTTCTGCAGACCCAACGAGGTGAGTCTACTATTTTATGTTTTTTTCTTTGAAGCAAGCGAGTTTACTTTCGGAAACGCTTCCGGATTGACGTCGTTGATTTGACTATCGAAACGATGAACCTAACTTCGGTCTTGTCTTGCATAGTTTTATTGTCTGGCACTTCCTTACGCCGTAGGCAAGCCAAGCTGCACCACTGTCGACCGTAAATTGCACCTCGCGTGTCGCACCGTCAGGACCTGTCAGTAGCTGATCTCACGATTCGGTGGGATTGAATTGCCTTGAAACTAGAAGGTACGCCGTGGAGATTATCCTACGGCTACATCTTAGAGGACTACCGCAGGGTAGCTTTGATTTGTCCTTGACTACCGTCCCTCAGCTCCCCGCTGGGTCGGGTCATGGACATCACAACTATCTTGAACAGAAAAGGTTCTGCAGCAATGGTCGCCGCAGAATTCGATCATCAGCAATTTATACAGAATCCTCATCTTGATACATCATCTCCGAAGATGAAGCCGGAGCCTGGAGTTTCAGAGGCTGGTGACCAGCCAGTACTTGCGTACCCTCCTCACGCGCCCCTCGGCCAAATGCCGAATATGCATCCGGATATGCGATACCAACCGCAGACACACCCGAACCCTGCTCTGCCGCTTTTGCAAAACCCTTATGTGCCAGGGGGGTATACAAGCGCTCCTCCGATGCCGAACGGTGGTGCTCCCCAGGGCAGGACAGACCCTCCACCCAAGACATTCCACTGTGGCACTTGTAGCAAGGGATTCGCTCGACGCAGCGATCTGGCGAGACATGGTAAGACTATATAAAAAAGGTACTATAGTGTTCACCTAACTGACGAAGTGTAGAACGGATACACTCTGGTATTAGACCACACGCCTGTGATTGGCCAGGATGTGGTAAACAGTTCATCCAGCGCTCTGCTTTGACCGTGCATTCCCGTGTCCATACAGGCGAGAAACCCCACATGTGCGAGAGATGTGGAAAGGTACGTGTTGCTATTTTCCATTCGGCGAGGGCAATTGGTCAATAACTAACATTATGGATATATAGCCTTTTAGCGATTCATCCTCGTTGGCTAGACACCGTCGGATACATTCCGGTAAACGCCCCTATAAATGCCCCTATGCCAACTGTCAGAAGACCTTCACACGTCGTACCACTTTGACACGCCATCAAAACCACCATACGGGTACTATTGAGGAGGCAGCCGCAGAAACTGAAGCCAATCTGAGGCAAAATAAGGAGAGGGCGAGAGCCCCCGGTGAGGGAATGTATTCAGAACATGGCTCCGTTCATTCTACCCCATCTCCGGCCCACCACCCTGCTATGTCACCAGCTGGCGAGCTCCCTCCATTGAACATGCCTCGGTCGTCTGGCGAATATTACAGCATGGGAAATGGTTCTATTCCTCCTCACGTGCGCGGAGACTTCCCACAGGCCAGTCCCCGCGCTTCTCCAACGGCAACCTCTCCATCTCTGTCCAGTTTTGGTAGTGCTCCACACACCCGGCCATCGATGACTTCTCACCCGTCAGGTTACGGCCCTCCTCAACCTCTCGAGCCACCTGCCAATAACGATCATCGGCCCAACAGTGTTAGTGGGAGTCCCCACATGACGAGCTTGGGTTGGGCTTCGCCGTCACACGGCAGCATCCCATCACCGGGCTCTGCAACCGATTTCGGTTATTCTGATCCCAATGGTCCAGCATACCCGAACTCAATGCCCCCTCACATGTACTTTCCCAACTCCACCATCCGACGCCCTACTAGCACTGAACCGGAGAACTACGAGATGAAGCCAAAAATTGGCGAGAGTGCATGGTCCACGCCGGTCTAGAGTCTCCATGATCGGCAGGACCTCTGATTTGGGACATAGAGACTTGGTCTAGAACCATAAACCTTACGCAGTGTCCAAACTCGAGCGATGAGTCTGACATCTGCATATCTTTTCCTTTGTTCTGGCATTATTTTCCTTTGTTTTTTCATTACAGGCCTTGCATAACAGCATATTGTTTTTCTCCCTTTGATTTTCTTTTCGATTTCCTTTGTCATACATCGTTGTGGATATCCGAGATGTTATTCTCTTAGCATTCAGTTTGAAGGTGTAAGCGCGCTGGAAGGAGTCCGGGCTTAGCTGATTTGATTCCCGTGTTTTGCTTGTGCTCTCTATTTGTTTCTCCTAATGTGCGATACGACTCGAACGAACACAAAATAAATAAATAGAGAGGTGGGAATGGTTCAGGGCTAGGTTGGACGGGGTTTTTTTTTGGGAACTGGGATATTCTGGTCTGGTCTGCTTTTGTCGTGGGGTTCTGGTATCATATACCATGTTATTCATATTTTTTGTTCTGTGCATTATCATTTTTCTCCTTGTCCCCTTGTCACATTATATACCTCATATCCATTTAATATCCGCCGTACCCCCTGTGTTTCCTCTTTTTCTTGTCCCCTTTGTCTCAATACTCACATTGTTGTAAATGATTCGCCTACTGTATGATATAGAGAAAGAATGTCTGCTTAATTTGATACCATAATTTCGTCCTCCAATTATCAAATTGATATTTCTTGAATTGAGACGGTAGGTAGTACAGGCATGACAGGGTTCATACAGCCAACCAAATTACAATGGGTAAAATGGATGTGTTGGGTCAAATCAAAAGCACTATTCTTCATATCTGATCGCTTTCATTCACATTAATGGGACCGTTGGATTAGTACTTACAGGATTGTAGATATGCTTCGGATTATACTTTGAGAATACCAGCTTCTTTATCTCCCATGGAAACAAAGAATAGCAATACCCTGCATTATTACTATGTACATCATCAATAGACAAGGAGTGAGGAAACAAGGGAATAAAGATGATTATAGGATCCTAATTTGGCCATGACCAAGGAGAAAGTATTATTATGAATTTAATAGCCCCATTGCTGTTGCGTTTAAGCCTGTGCTCGGGACAGGGGCAGGACAAGAACAAGACGGGGGAGTCGGGTTCAGGGCCCGCGAGAAGAGGGCTGCGGCGAATGAGGTGGACGAGGCGCCTTTGCCGGAGGAGAGGAGGCCGAATCGGAGGAACACTTCGGAGGTGGTGACAAGGATGGAGATGATGATTAGGACAATGATGATCCAGGTTTGGTCTTGAAGGGTCAGTTGTTTATTTGGAAAGGGTAGAATGTGGGTACTTACGGGAGGTTTTGCTGTCGGCTATTGAGTCCGAGAGAATTTCGGCGAGGTCGAGGAAGACACGGCAACGTTCGTTTAGGACCTGAATTCGTGGCTTGATTTCGAGGTATTCGCGAACGGCGATATAGAGTGGGTATAGAGTTGGTTCGCTTTCCCAGAAGAAATTGGGGACGTCTAGCATGTTGGAGGCTGTTTGTTGTTTGTAAGTGGGAAACTCTTGAGTATGTAAGCTGCAGGATAACTTACAGAGGTTGACCTCTACTCTGCTTTTGAATAATCTTCCCAGAATCCTGAACACTTCTTCACGTTTCATGCCCAGTTTGCCGGTCATGGCGAGCCTACGTGGTACGTCTTTTGCTTCGGCCATTTGCCTGGCCATGACTTCTTCGAAGAAGCAAAGTTTGGTGCTCTGAGCAATACCATGACTGATAGCCAGTTTTATCATGTGGTCACCGCTTCGTAGTGTAATCATGTCGTTGTATACGCGGGGACGAGAGATTTCAGTCGAGTATTCAAAGTGGAATTCCTCCGTTTCGAAATCCTCTTCCTGCAAAGGCATAGTAGCCAGCGGAATGGGAGTTCCAGTCACGGACGATGTCGCAAATGCAAGATCGGCGAGGAGATCCTTCTCTTGCCTGTCTGTGAAGTTCCAAAACACTACCACGCCATAACTGAAAACAAACATCTCTGCCACGTTATATAGCAATCGTGTCGGCTCCGGTTGTCCAACGGGCGCTTGGCTATGATGCTCATAAGCTGCGCCATCAGTAGCTTCGGCCCTCGTCCCTGAGCCTGCATGATAGCCCTCCTGGTCATGTCCAGGCGTTTCGCTATCACTGTGTTGCGAGCCATGCTCGCCACGGCTTCCGAGAACCGAATGCTCCTCTGCTTCTGGCATGTAGTCTTCATGGTGATCACGAAGCTCATTCCGCTCAATTTCTTCATCTAGGAGAGACTTCCCGCCAGGCTTCTTGACAACTGGGCTACTTCTGAGCCTGTAACCTCCATGACCGGGTAATAACGGCAAATGGTACGCGGTATACAGGCAATCGTCGTAAAGCTTTGTCTTTCCACCATGTCTCTCCTTGACAAATGTCGCCAGGGAACTCATTTTGTAAGCCTGTGCAGTACAATAGGCAGTCACACGGGCCAATTTCTCCGCACGTCGAGCCTTCGGTAATCGCTCTGCGTAACTTTTAGCCTTCTCCGGCGCGACCTTCCGGCGGCGCAATAACTCCTCCTCTGCCAGCAGGGGCGCAATGTCATTGTCAACACCAAAGTCCCCACCAAGCCTCTTCTGTGTCAATAGTCGTTGCCTTACGATTTCGGCATCGATATTTTTGTCCCTCGCCAGTCTCTGAACCAGCTCCTCATCCACAGCCTCCTCATCAATATCTCCCTCTTCCTCCTCATCTTCTGACAACTTATTATCCACTTCTTCCGATTCGGGAAGAAGAACCAATTTCTCACTAACTTTGGTCGACCGAGGGGGTAAACGGGGCTGAGCTGCGAGACGGCCCATCGTTGCCGCAGTACTTACTGCGCTGGTGCCACCGCCGGATGCACCTGCCGTGCCTGCGCCAATTAAGCCACCCGTTGCGGACGCAATACGCGACCGCGGACGGGCTCGCGAAGGCTGGGGTGGATGACGTTGTTGCATTGAGGGGATATCCGATGTATACTGGAGCACGTTGTCGACTGTGATGAAGCGTGTAGACGGAGAACGACGACGGCGTGGTTGAGCAGATGGTTGCTGCTCACGTGAGTCGGTTACCTGAGATAGACACCAGGTGAGTACAGTTGCAAACGCATGTATACAAGGTAATCCGCAACATGCGGTCAAGTGTAGCTCGTTATCATCTCAGGACGTACCAACACATGTGGGCTCCTTTGGCCAGGCACACGGCCTCGTGCGGGATTCATGGTCGCACTGGTATAAATAAAAGGACACGAAGGTAATTGATAAGCTTCAGTAGACTAGATGAGCTGATGGAATCCCAATTGCAGGTGCAAGTCAAACAAAGGAAGGTTTCTTTTTGAAGCGGTCTGCAACAAGCTTCTGGTCACTGAAAGTAATTGATATCAATCAATTTAAAATAGGCAATGGCATCATCCAAATCTAGTCTTCAGTTTCAGAGCAACAAAACCAACGCAGCCATGCTATTGCTGCCTCGGCCTGATGGACAATGAGCTAGAACACAAGATAATGATTCTATCGCCCGTTCACTTCCAAAGCTTCAGACCGCCAGGCAGAAACGGGCCTAAGCCCCGTTTGGATTAGCGACTGAATTAACCACGAAGAATGACGTCGTCGGACGTCCTCTCCGTCCCGGAATTACGGTAATTACAAATGTATCGTTACCAACTCCGAACAATCGGCGAGCCACGTGCGGGCCTTGGTTCAGTGGAGACTAGTATCAGAGTAGCCTAGCGGGCTCATCATTACGGTTGATCCGGGGTAAAAAAGGCGTCGTCGTCAGGTTCACCTTTATTGGAAATCCGTCTTGTGGAAGAGGGGAGTGGGGGCTCCAAGAGTTCTCCACGATCATTGATAAAATGTCCTCTTTACCTGGATGATCCCTCCAAATCGTTGGTGGGGTGTCAATAACTGGGGAGATAAGAGGGGCTTGTCAGCCACAAGAGGGGATCTTGACTGGCCCTGGCTGGCTAACTTTTCCTCCGTGGAGGGGAGTGGGATTTCCAATCAGTCAGGCAAACACCTCAACGTGCGAACTACCGGCTATGCCAATGACGGCAACAGTGCAACATTGTGATGGAAAAAAGGACTGGCGCATGAACTTAAACGCCAAATCATACATTGAACTCCGTTGAGGCTGCGTGGAGAGCTTCCTTGCAGACGATGTAGTAGTATTGCCTTGCTTCATGACAGATCTCTATGTATTGTATTACATGCATGCGTTTTTTGCTACACTGGGGAAACAATCACAAACGCAAAATGCAGTCACCAGACTCAAGTGTGTGATATGAAAAACAGACCATGATAAACGCCTCGAAGCAAACTCAGAATATTGCCTCGTCATGCTAGAAGATTTCTGATGTGGTAAAGGAAAAGAGATGAATAACATAAACATCAAAGAAATTAAGCGGGTGATCTGTTCCGTGAACAACCCGGATCTAACAATGTCACAAAGGAAATTAATAACACATCCCCGTATCGATTTTTCTAAGGGAGTAGTCGTTTAGAGCCCTTCGCGAAGCCGCCGGTCTTCATCCCAGATTTCCTCTTTCATCTGCTGTAGTCGAAAATGCTGTCGCCGTAACTTCTCCAACTCCGCCCTGGGCGGATCTGGATGGGCTGCCATTGTATCGTGCAGTGCACGGTACTTGGCATAGTAGTGTTTAAAGCGCTGCGATTTCTCTCGCAGCTGCTGGAGAAGAATCTCCCGACTGAGAGGCGGTGAAGCACTTCCGGTGCTACCACTCGATGTGCTAACCGCCCGTCGTCGCTTGTGCTCCAAATCCCCCGTGGTGCGTCCCTGGGCAGGAGTTGCAGAAGGCCTGTCTAGCTCCGCCTTCCGCTTCAGGGGATTAAGCGCCGGAGTCGCCTTGACCATGCCATTGGTTTTCACCTGTTTCTTAACGTTGGAGGTGCCCGTAGCTTTGTTTGGTTTGGATATTTGAGTAATCAAAGGTGATGAGGAAGAACTAGAGGAATTGTTCTGACTCGAAGAACGACTGCGACTCTGTAGGTCAGAAGCATTGGTCGGGGGGGATGAGCCGAGCGGCGACGGCTTCTGAGGAGATTTCTGGGCCGGAGGGCGGGAGGATGGTGGCCTCTTCGATGAGGTAGTAGGCTTCGGAGGATTTGGGGGCGACGGTTCGCTTTTGGATTGGGGGCGCTCTGGCTGGTCTACCTTGGGTGTCGGCACATGGGAGGACTCTCGAGGGGTAGATGACTCGGCTGGTTTGGGTGGCGCTTTGGGTTGCGGCTTGGTTTTCTCTGCAAGAGGCTGTTCCGATGCCGATGCATCTAGCATGTCTGTGTCATCTTCATCCGAATCATGAACGTATTCCGCTGATTTGAACTTCCCATCCGGCTTGGACACTGGCTTCCGTTCCGGCTTTTTAGTGACACGCCCAGTCAAGGTGCTGTTTGTCGTACTCTTGGCCTTCGTATTAAACTGCTTCGCTGCGGAGTTGCCGACTCGTTTCTTCTGTGCGTTGGCACCAGACCGGGGGGCTGATGTGGGCTGTGTCTTGGGGGTCAAGCCAGTTCCACTGACCCTATCGGTTTCCGGTCCAGTCGTGTCGCTGTCTTTGCCGTTCTCGTCGGGGTTTTGTACTTGTATCCGAGGAGTCAGCGGTTTCTTGATAGGACCGGTGCGCAAGTTCAGCCGTGACAGACACTTCCCCTTCCCTCGCTCATCCTTGGGAAGAAGCATCTGCCAGAGCTTGTCGGTGCGGGAGATCCGCATGCGATCAAATGCTGAGATAGCATTCTCAATGGCTTCCTGCCGCTCTTCCTGGGACGGATAAGGAAAATTCCATACATCCAACTCTCTGTATGCTTTGTCCTTGAGATCGAACTTCTCCGGGTTGATTCGATTCTCAGCACCGTATTTCCGAGCCAAAGCCGTACAGTCTTCGATGGATGAGCGAGTCTGGCGAGCAAGGAACTTGGCAGATACGGCACGGACGGCAAGAAGGTGAATGAAGGGAACTTTAAGCGCGTCGAGGCGAATACGGTCTTTGTTTTGGGAAAGCGGAGCGGAGGTAGGAGTAAGGGGAGGTGCAGAAGTAGGAGACCGGGGGACACCCAGAGCCGGGCTGGACGACACCGAGCGGTTGGTTGCATTTTTCAGCAACCGGTCCTTCTCCAATTCAACCTTACTCGAGGATTTACGGGCTAAGAGAGCGGCCTGCCTTTTGTCGCCCGCTCGAAGAGCCCTCACCTCATCAATGCTAGTAATTATATGGGTCTTCTTCGATTCCTTTCCCCTCTCAAAGGCGTTCAAGCTCTGTTCGAGGTTGGCCAATGCTTGGTCTGTGGCCGCAGTAGCCTCTTTTGCTTTCTGAACCTCCAAGCTATGGCTCAGAACACCAGTAAAATATAAGTTTTCTTTGTCATTGGAGCTGCTGCTATAGATCTCGGACCGGTGAGTCTCGGGATGAGAGTGAAACGATTGCGATTTGGATCCGTAGTAGAGAGTGGGATGTTTCCCCAAACGGACCCTAGCTGTTTGGTCGTCCCGGAGAGTTTGGATCAGTTCGTCGAGGGTGTTCTGAGCTAGGTTTAGTCGCATGATCTGCGTTGGTTTAACCGTGGAATCGCTCCCGGGGTTATCTCTACAGAGAGACAACCCGGACACTGGCACCTCAAGAGCCGGCATGAGGTCGCGGGAAAGTTGTAGGATAGATGATGGCACCGAAACGAGAGGACGGAGGAGAGGATACGATCGAAAATCGAAAGGAGAAGAGGAATTGAGAGAAGGGCCAGGTAGAGGGTGCCCGGGAGAAGGACGGGTAGCAGCGTGAAAGCTGCAGGTCAGCGGCCGAATACACGGGAGAACGAGTCAGAGCAACACGCCATAGATCAAGCAATGGAGGACAGAGGAGAGTTTGAAAGGGAGTTTGCATATGGAATAGCAAACGAAACTCTTGAGTAACCAAAACCCATGGCAGAAGGGTTGGCCTTGGGAGTTGGGTCTCGGAGGGGAGGAAAAGTGGAGGACGGAGAGGGGAAGGGGAAGGGGAAAAAAAGAGAGAGGGAAAGCTAGATGAGATGATGCCAAAGAAAGCAGGATGAGAGCGTAAGGCGGCCCTAGAGCGGAGAGAGCCAGAAGTGAGTAGTGAGTGGGGAGAAGCGGTATGGTATCGTTCAGGGTACCTTTTCTGGGCCAAGGAGTTGTCAGGCCCGCAGGATGTTTAATCCAATTTGGGTCCGGGTTTATAATACGAATCGTCTTCACGGTTTGATTGATTAATTTATTTTACCACTTGAGTCGTATATACACCTACAGGCCTCCGGTTACTACCGTTTACTATACCTTGTAAGAGAGACCTAACTAAATTGCCCCGTCATAGACCCAAGAAAAGAATGTCAATAAACCTCAGTGTTATAGGTCGTTTGATGCGGTTCCCGGAGGTTGTCGGCCACCCATCATGCGGACTTTACATCCATACCTACCTTTCGGGAAAGAGAGAGAGAAAAGTCGTGTGGCAAGTCAGGGAACGTAAGTATCAAGAGAGAAATCCGTGTTTGTATTATACGTACCAATGGGCCTCCATAACTTTACTGCTCGGGAGAAATAATCAGAAGGGAAAGAAAGGACGAATAATAATAGGAAGGGGGAAAATAATAGTACCATCACTAGTACGGAGAACGGCGTACCGTATGGGAAGGCCCGCCCCAACTACCGTACGGAATGGCAAGGCGGCGGGTATTTTCATACGTAGTCACGGGCACTTCCTAAATTAATAGTGACCTCCGTTACAGAAAAGAATACATGCCAGGATTGACTTATGATGCTACTAGGTCACTAGTAAAGTCTTCTCTTTCTCCTTCTGGAACATTGATCCCTACCAACGATCGATCGGAAAAGCAATCATGAATGGAGTCATCCAAAACCTAGTACTTTGTTGTCTGGAAGTTTCACCTCGATTCTGTTTTGCTTTGTTTTTATTTTAAAGAAACTGGGGTAGGAAAAGGTCGAGTCTTGTCTCATCTTTTATTCTATTGTTCCATTAATAAACATCGATCTTTTTTTTTTTGTCTTTTATTTGTCTCTACCCCGTACCGACGCAAAGCAGACAGAGAGAGAGAGAGCAGGGCCAGTCAGTCATTCTAGGCTGAGTCTGTGACAGCCCCGATACCGTACGCTGTACAACCCCGTCGCTGCAAGTGGTACAGAACCGGAACAGCTTGTTCGACAACGCTATCTTACGCCATGACCATGCCTCTGCCACCTACGCCCCCACCACGACTGACAAGAAAACTGGGTCCAAACCAACAGTCTAGTCCGGAACTCCTCCTTTGTCTCTTGATACAGGTCAAATAAAACAAAAGGAGCATCGGAACATAGGGAGTACTGAGAGATAAGTAAAACACCCAGAGATCTAAGAAATGGATAAAGCATTGTGCCCGTGGAGGGAAGGTGACCAAAAGAAACTGAACGGGCCAAAATGAAAATTTAAAAAAAGAGAACGTCGTGAAAAATACCTGAAGAACTTAATAATCCATCAATGGATCGGGAGCCGGAGCCGGAGCCGGAGCCGTCACGGTGTACGGCGTAGTAAGCATTACAGTAGGTACATACCTGGTACCTGGGGGGAAAACCCGGTGATTGATTGCTGGGACATTAATTCTAGAAAAGAAAGGCGAACAAAAAAAAATGGACTAAATTTCAAAATAGCATAATGCGAATGTGCCTTGCTTTTTGGGTTACTTGGAATGGGAGACGATAATGTATTATTTCTTTGATCCTCGACAGTGAACGCCATCATCGTCACAGGATCAACATCACGGAAACACTGGTTCAGCACGGCAGATCATCCGTCAAGAGCGACCAACCTCGACCTCTTTTTTTTTGGCCCTCCTCTGCCATACCCGCGCGTGCGCAACCCCCCCACCGCCAGATAGAAGGTGAAATGCAAGATGATGGACTTGCATAACAGCTTGCCTTGCTCTCGTGCATCAAAAACTTTGTATCTGTTGGGATGCAGAGGAGCTTCGGGAATGACTTTTTACGAAGGTTCAGACAGCCACCACTTCATGTACAGAGTAGGTATGCCTGTACTCTTTTTCTTTCTCCGATTTTTTTTTTCTTTAAAGAAAATTATTTTTTTTTACATATCACTCTTAGTCAATTCAGTAAATCAAAATAATGCTTTCTTTTTTTTTTCAACCATGTACTACGATCTCCATGCATCTGTTTTGAAGTAGTGAGTACCTATAAGAAATGAAATGACGATGGGGCCAAGATCCCCGTCACAGGTTACAGTCGGCTGGGATCTAACCGAAACAAATCAATGGCTGATCACGCTCTCTCAATGAACCATTGGACAGCAAGCTCTCCTGTGTTTATTACTATGGTTTACAATTCAGGAAGAATCGAAACTCTCTTCAGGCTTTCAAAGGGTAATTCTAAGGTTGCTAAAGTTTTTCCTTTGGATTAATTGGCTCATTTATCACCCTGCCTCCTTACAATCATTCCGGACGAGTAATGAAGGGATATTCAGACGGATAGTTTGAGTTAATAGCTATTCTTGTCCACCGTTGGCCATGAAGGTCCCTTCTCCTCTCCGTGATTTAGGGACAGATGCAATAACTAACCGTAGATCCAATATTACAATCCAATTTAATTTAGTGGTTATTGCGATCACCCAGTCGATTTCTATACATCAATTCGTCTAGACATCTCGAGGTGTCTTTTAACTCCCTGTTATTGGGTGTTTTAGGTTTCCGGTCAATTTACACCCATTAAGTAGGGGCCGAGAAACCCTGTAGGGTAAGTAGAGGTGGGGGAGGAATGGACACTAAAACCCGACTAAGCACCGAATAAGCAGTGAGGAGAAACCAGAATATTGATATTTATTTGAATTGACGGGAAACCTTGAGGGGGTGACATATGTACATACATGCAATACCATCACCCTCCCAAGGTACGTAGGTATGTATGGTTGGACTTGAATGAATCAGGGAGGCGAACCTTGGGCACTATGTATGACCATGTGCTAGAAGGCGACTGCCTCGGCGAACAACGCAATCCAGGTCCTACGTTCAAACATGACTTTTCCAGTCAGCCCTCATGCCTGATACAACATTCGTGTTACTTGATACCAGCCATCCACGTGTTCTGGAGAGGTTCTATTTCACCTCTATCAGATGACCACAGCGAACAAATTAAACCAGGAAAGTCATAATTTCAACGCATGGGGATATATATCACAAATCTCGAGACAGCAGGGTCCTTGTATGGAAGGTACCTACAATTTGCCACCGACCTGTGAATCAGCCTCCCCGTGTTATGATTATTATAGGAAATGGGCTCTGCATGACTGCAGTAGTTTCGTCTTAGCCGTCCCCTAGTAGCACTGTTACCACCCCCCTCCGGACTGCTCAGCAACCAGGTGGCCGGCTTTTCATGGTCGCGCACAAGTTCAGAGTAAACCACGTAAACCCTCAGCCGTGACGTAGAAAAGGGAGTGTGGTCTGGATAGATCATTATATGGATACCGTAGTAGGAAGTTGGGTTTAGACCTCCCCCCTCAGTCTCAATTACAATCTATATTCAGGGTCGGAACATGGACGGCATGGATGCCACAGGCCACTTCCGAGCTATCAATCACGGGGGGTCGTTACACCTTGTCACTCCGCAGGACGCAACCCTGTGCAACTTGCTGGTCGACACTCAGCAGCTGGAATGCTCCATGAATCATTGTCTGGGCTGTAATAGGCATTATCTACTAGTTGGGAACCTACGCTGTCGGCTTGACCCCCCGATGGCTGGCTGCTGGGCGGATCCATCATTGGTGGGCCTTCTCTCGATGCGAGGGGATCCGGCCGTATTGAATTTGTATTGGGGGGAGGAGGAGTTACAAATACCCGATCGAGTCAGTATTCATGTACATACAGTATGTATGTATTTTGTCTGTATGTATTGTGCCTTCAATATGTACGTATGGACTGCCGTAGTTTAGCAGATGGAGACTCAAACTGCCAACACATCTAGGCATCACCTTCACTACGGAGTCAGTAATAGTATAAATGGATAATAATAACAATGAGAATGATAGAATAAATTATATTTCTTGTTCGAGAAAAAGATTAAATTGATGTAATCATATAACAACAAAAAACCCCCCCATCTTTTAACTTATTCCAAACCTGCCAACATACGAGTCCTACTACCTAATCTGGACACCCACCGTATTACCCGACCTACGCAAAGAACGCCCCTAACCCCCTTAGGGAGGAGGAGGAGGTGAAACTAGAACGAAGAATAGTTACGAGCTGAAACGTGCCGAACCCATTTTCATCTTAGACCAAAATAAAATAGAACCCCCAATCCTTACTGCCTAAGGAATAGCTTGGCCGCCAATCATCTGATCCTATCCTAGCGTAGCGCGGCTGTGTCGTTAATTCTCCTACCTCCAGAAAACCGAGGGTGATCAGTGAGGCGCATTCAAAAAACCAGAACTGAGGCTTGGAGGTTCATGAGTGCAGATCGCAGACCCGATATGCTGGCTGAGTTGATCGTATATTTAGAACCTTGCCGAACATGCGGCCATTAGCAAACCCTGTTCCTGGCAGACACTCCAGACAGCCCCCATTGAAGGAGAGGGAATCGACAGGGGGCTCTTTAAAAATAATAATAATAGTAATGATAATAATAAAATATAAAATAAATGTCCCTTTTCACTTATGATACTAGGTAACTACGGAGTACGTAGTGGGTTAGTGGACGATGGCATGGTCGGGTTACCTAGGTGAAGAGTAGGTTTGGGTGAGACGGAGTATTAAATAGTTGCTTTACTAGTAAATACCTTTTTTTTTTTTTTTCTGCAAGCCCACTCCGAAATTCCCATTGTGGATGCCCGCTATTCTTTCAAAGAGCTGGCTCCACGTGAGTGCAACAAAACAATACAAGAATACCAGGTAAATAAGTACCTAGTATTTTAGAATAGAGGAGAGTAATCTAACCCAAATATTAACAGTGTCTTGGAAACCCTGATCATCATTAGCTATTTCGAGGTGTTCATTCTACTCACAACAAAGGAAAGAAGCTGACAAATTGAACTCCTTAGCTACAAAGAAACCAAATGGGAGCATGGGGTGGACCTACGATCGTTCCCACGCCAACCAAGGGAATCAGTCATTTGACAGACACACTGAGCAAGAAATCGAGACCCTGACTCGGTTATGCTCTTGGTGCAAGATTTACGGATAATGAGTTGGATATATATCATGTTGCATATAGACATCTAACCTGGCTGAATACAATAGGTCACAATAACCTCCATGGCTAAAGAGTAGTACTAGCCCTCCCTCTCCTCCATACCGTCACTTTTACTTCTATAAACACCTCACCATGGGCTAATGTTAATAACTCCCCTGACTGATCTAGCGGGGTTTTACGGGCTCTGATCAACAAGCTGTCTCAGCCCCCTGCTCTGTACAATATCATAACTTCAGAATAGTACAACCACAGACCGAGTCTCCGAACGAAGACAGAGTGATACCTAAAGATATACAACAGCTCAACTAGTCCGCTCATGAATCGAGAACGGCTCATAGTATATGTCTGCAACACTTTACCTTCATGAAGCTAGTGCGCGACACAATAAGTAACACCCCCCCCCCCCCACGGTCAACATTGTCATTGCTTGGGCTCAAGCATCTTGAGCTAGATCAATAAGATCGGCCACCTCCCTATCCCCATCATCAATGAAGGTTGAACATTTATACCGCTTTGTGCATGATCTAGGTTCTCCGCTCTCTGACCTCTGCCTTTTCGTATGCTGCACGGGGTTTTCATCGTTGTTGGTCTCTTCCCGTTCATCCCAAAGGCGCTCGAGATCAGCTATCACTTCATCATCTTCTCCGTGGACCTCGCGGTAGTGCGCCGCCATCTCTTTCTTAGATTGGATAGGGTATCCTGGAGTGCCCACGGGACCACAGTCATCCAGAAGGCAAGTTATAGCTGCCGGCCAGTTATCTGTTAGATCCGGAAGGTCTCTTTGGTGAGCTTGTTGGAAATGGGAGATCACTCTTTCCCGTAGCTTGCTGCGAGCTTCTTCTGAGAGATGCTTAGCCCAGTCTGCAAGTTGTAGGCAAGCCTCCGGCATGCCCCGGTATACTTTCCCATCATGTGTCAATCTATCTGTGCCGACCTCTCTAAACATACAGGCAACGTCGTTGGCGTAACATCCCCCACGGAATTCATGCCAATCGTTCAAGCGGTTAATAATGGAGTTCCTGAAGTCAGTCACTCCCCAGAGGTGTATCTGATCAACCAACGATAAGAACTCCCAAGCTTTTCGTGGAGTCACGACACGGCCGCTCCAGATTCTCTGAAGGATCTTTGATTTGAAAGGTCAGGTCATCTCGTCAATGAAGCTAATGACTGGACCAAACTTACATAAACAGACTCACTAAATCCATCATGTCCCGCATACTCTCTTTCGAGTCGGGGTCTTTTATACCCAACCAGGATATGCCAGTGGGCTCCAAAGAAAGTAAAGATGAAGACTTGATTGTTGCTGCGGCCCCCTGCCGATCGATACTTCCTGTTCTTGCTGCTAGCCTTTCCAGGCTGGCGTGCAAGATTATCTAACATATCAAGATATACTGCCCCCGCTGAACATCCCTGTCGGCGTGCTTCTTGGGCATCCCCGCTCCATCCTTTAGCTTCATAAACTGCGAAAGGAAATGCAAGATCCGCGTCACCCCAGCGTGGGTCAGAGATAAGGCCGCAATGTCGATGGAGTAGGAGTGCTTCAAGGCGGTCATGGTCTAGATTCCACTCTGCTAGAGGGTTCTGGTAGTCTCTCGGTTTGAAGGTCGCAAGGCCAAATGTCGCATCCGGAATCCTCTTGATAAACTTGGGCTCACCCACCAATAAACAAGACACGGGATCTCTCTTCAACTTGATAGTGTTGTATTCGTGTTTATTGCTGGACTCATTCGATCTTTTAAATACAACCAGGGTTGAAGTACAAAGAACTGGTGACTCACACGGTCAAAACTGCGTCATCTCTCATTTGACCGAAAACATGCGTCCAGGCGTCAGCTGCCCATGCATATTCGCCCTTCCGCCATCGTTCATTGTTGAGAATACGCTTAAGAAGAGTTTTTGCTCTAGAGCGGCGACTGGACTCGCTGGAATGATTCCAATCAATGCCATCAAGTGATGGTGCCCAGAGATCATGACCAGCCGTAACCCATCCTTGGGAATACCAAAGGCGGTAGTAGATAGCTCGGGCATTCAAGCCTCAATCGGCACCGTACCGTTCAATCACCCTGGGGCTTGCAATATTGTTGGGCATGGGATAGCTTTGTGGGGTTAGCGTCGTCACAAAACCCAGGAGTCCGCCTGACAGTAGACTAAATAAGGTAGGTAGTAAAGGGGAGGTGGCACTGTACTACTGAGTACCAACATAGTATCTTTCCAAGGCCGACTCGATTTCATCTTCGGACCAACCATCCGTACGCATCATGTCGACTGAATTCCACATTGTATCGAACCACTGAAACTTCGACTTCATCAAGCCTGTTGGCTGCTTTGAGTTTCCTGAATGTTTCTATTGCTTTTTGCCGGTCTTCTTTGAAGGAAGCTCTGTATTCGGCCATGGTGACCCCTGCTGTGGGCTTTGTGTCGGGTAGCTGGACCGCTAACTCACTCTCCAACCTACTTGGGTCTGACATCCATGGTCCATCCCGCGGATGTTCTGCAACCCGGGGTTTTTTCCGCTCAGTTGGGCCCTTGTCTCTCAGGCGAAGGATGGATTTGGTCTGTTTTCAAAGTTGGGCATGGTGCTTGACATGATCGACTAATTTAAATGAAAGCGCAAAGGGCACGACAAATAAAGCAGGTAGTGGTTTCTGCACTGTTCAACTATTGGTGTCCTAGGGATGGCTTACTCCTAGTGAGACGAAGAGGGTTCCATGGATAATAAATTGCTGGGGTAAGCTCTGTGGAGTTCTTAGATTGCTTATATGACAGAAAGCCCCCAGGTAATAGCGCCGGAGCCTAGCAATCTCCTACTATCTACGCGATCAGAGGATTTAGCCTTGCGTAGCTGTGGACTAAAAATATGGTGCAGTCCTCATTAGAAGTTTCATGCCGGTTCTACACCAAGACTCGACGGCTTTTGACAACTATGGATATCAAAGTAATGACCTATAAGCTACGTTTTACTATTATCGGTTTAGGTTTCTTAAGATACTAGTGGAGTAGTAGTAACATATGCTATTTTACAGGTTAGAGAAATACTGTATGAGCTCAAGTAGAAAGTGTTTGGATATAAATAGTCAAGTGATTATATATATAAATCTACTATATGGCGCATGTAATACAGGGTTTAACTGGTCTTCGTGGCTGTACGGCTGGGCATATTATGGCCTTCCCCACCACGCGCCCACGCCTGGAGCAAGAGTTGGAGGTTGGGTTTGACGCTTGCTAAGGTTTCCTTATATATACATAGTTTTTAAAAAGAGCTCGTATCAATCGCCCGGGTGGTCTAGTGGTATGATTCTCGCTTAGGGTCACAACCCAAGCATATTTGCGAGAGGTCCCGCGTTCGATCCGCGGCTCGGGCCGTTTTTTTTCCCTTCTTCTCCTATCCTTTTTCCCCTATCTCACTTTACTATCATCATTGCGCTGCTGAGCGAAGCGAAGCAAGCTACGAAGTATACGAGGCTGCGCGAAAGGTCTGGGTTCTTATTGGATTAAAATTCAAGAGGGACGTCACTTACCGCCTCAACTTACCCCACATAATCAATTTCAGGACTATTCGGGCAACCTATATTTGCCTACGGAGTAGATTCATAGGTCATTTGAGATTGATGTAGATAATCTTAGTAATTTAGATGGTGTTATTAAAGGGCATATGATTCCGTTGCTGCGCACGCCTTGCTAGCCCTCTAGTATCGAGCAAATTGCGTCGAAGGATCTAAGGTTTGTCAGAAGGTGATCTCGTAATTCAGCTTGGTAGTCTATTTATTGTCTGCGACTTTCACTCCGCCGTCGTCATTCTTTTATCCATAAGTATATTTCTTCCTTCGTTCCATGTCTCACTCAGCATTAATCTGAAGTCTTCCACGCATGTTCTTCGGGAAACTTCCAAGATCTAGCTAGGTATCCGGACTTGGTAACTACTTCACCTACATACAACCAGCCCCTCGAAGATGACATGGTAAGTAGTCGATAGGCCTCTTGTAGACTTCGAATAGTCGATATTTAGCACCTTCGTCATAGCCACGCAGTTGAGCCTCCGCCATATACTCGTCAAGCTTAACTTTACACGCGTTCATAGGGATATGATACCAGCAGCACATGGATATATATTTTATAGATGAGGTGCTACACAGGTAAGATTTATTACCAAACAACAACAAATCACGTGATTGTATATAAAAAGAATGAATGGCTGAAAGGGCACTCTACATACTATTTTATAATGAAATCTGTAAAGTATGGTAATTGAGCTGAGACACCTGATCGAATTGTTTATATATCGATCAGGGCTGTTTATAAAGAAAGGGGGTTTTACCGTATCTTGTGTCTCTCTGACCCGCTATGTTTCCCCGCCAGTGGAAAAAAAATACTGGCCCGAGCCGCGGATCGAACGCGGGACCTCTCGCAGATATGCTTGGGTTGTGACCCTAAGCGAGAATCATACCACTAGACCACCCGGGCAATTATGTAATTCCTTCTTTAGCTTATGTAAATATAAGGGGAAGCTCTTGGCCCCCCGGGGGTTAGTCCCCTACTTTATCTTTTCACCATCTCTGAATACCACCTGGGCACATTCTTCTATCGCTTCAGAGATTATAAGCTCAGGTACTCACTGTTTATGAACTTAACTGTCAACAACAGCCTCTTGATTATCCGGCTTCTTCTCTCAACAAGGATATATAACCTTCTTTTAACGCAAGGTACAGTATCTTGACTTTTCCAGGTGGACACATTTGGAAGTTAAGATTAATTGCCTGTAACACATACAACTTAATGTGGCAGTGGGCTGTTAAAGCTGGATTGACCTTTATACACACCCTCCCTTATTAATAATATCTTCATTGATGGCACGATGACACAGTTTTCAACATTCTCCTTGAAGAGGCATCATAAACTCCGTGAGCATGACACATACCTCGCTGTCCATCGTTTTGATATATAGGACCCATAGATACAGACTCAATTCTTTCGCATTTATTTGCGTATTCTCGCCTTTTTTTTCGGCCTCCTTCGCGATTTACATGATACAGTCCATGGGAGGCAATAAGGGTCCAGAGCAGCAACGAGGACTCTGTAAGGACGCATAAATGACCAATATGTATGATGCTTGCTACGTCTCGCTCCGCTGCGCAACAAATAAGCCGAGATACCTTATCAGCACTGCTGACTCAACCTATTGAACAATCTTACCTGGTGAGGACTCGCCATTGATTAATAGCAGTTGACAGTGTGAAATAAATAGTAGGATAAAGAGCTGCTTGATAAGAAACAGGGTCGCTGCTTTCGGCAATCGCACACCGTCCAACGCTGAAATTGCGATGACCATATAGGCAACTAGCACTTCGGAAGTTAACCCCAGTCAGGAGCGTGTTGAGCACCTAAATGAGGAAGCTGACACTTGGGTAAATGCGCAGGTTGTTAGCCATGTCGTTTTCAACACTTTCCATCAAATGCCACTGCTATAGTACTGCTTGAGAAGCTAGAACTCGACTACAGCCACGCTATCATTAAAACAGCAGTCGGAAGTCCTCGTGTAGAGTATATCGACCTAAGCGATATTAAAACCTGGAAACAAGCCTGAGACGTTTTAAATTCGGTGGAATGCTGCCTTGGACAAGGTCAACATTACCCTAAGGAGTAAGGACCTCTTTAAGATTCCCAAAGAAGATATGTTTACGCAGCTTATCTTCGCCATTGGGGGTAATGCATTTCTGTACAGTAGCTGGATATCAGTTGCCCGGGTGGTCTAGTGGTATGATTCTCGCTTAGGGTTATAACCCAAGCATACATTTGCGAGAGGTCCCGCGTTCGATCCGCGGCTCGGGCCGTGTTTTTGTAGATTGTATATCTACTTCAAGGTTAGATTAGTGGGTGGTGTCTTTCTTTTTGCGCAGGAGATAGATGGATCAGCGTGCACATCGAAAGTATGGCGGCATTGTGTATTTCTTCATTTATCCGTAAGTTATAGCCATAATTCATAATCGCCCGGGTGGTCTAGTGGTATGATTCTCGCTTAGGGTCACAACCCAAGCATATCTGCGAGAGGTCCCGCGTTCGATCCGCGGCTCGGGCCGTGTTTCTTTTTGTCTCTCTCTTTACTTTTCTGTAAAGTTAGATTTGGGTGGTATCTTTTTTCTTTCATTGGTAATTTTCACACTTATGAAGGATGTCATGGGCTTCAACAATACTAGTAGGGAGTATCCTCGTGATCAACCACAGCACTATCAAGTAAAAAGACTAGTCTTTCAGGTCTCCAGACCTGAACTGTTCTTACTTTACAATGTAACCTGTCACACTGTCTATATATATTTGTTGTTTCGGTATATAACAGTATGTGTCCTATGTACTATATAATAATCTATATCTTGATGTCCTAATATGATCACTTTTCGTCCTTATATTCTTTGGAATTCCTCACTCTCTCCTTTTAAGTTTGATTCCCGCAAGCACGTTTTCTTTTAGTGGAATGCCTAGCAGATATTGGCCCCTATGAATCGCTCCTCGGGCGTGCACTGGAACCCCTAGAACCGCCAGTCCCTCCCATGTCGGGTTTGCGTCCTATCCAGCATATAAGAACTTCTCGACATCAGCTGCGACTAACACTTTTCATCCAAAGTTACCAATATCTCTTCCTCTCAGTATGCTATCTTTCTGTTGAAATCGGTCGGAGGGGCCCCAAATCGTCTACGGGAGGGTAATGGATCCTCTTTTGATCTGACTATGGAGGTTGTCAGAGATCCGATGATGACTCTGCATGATGACTGTATCGTATACCCTGCCCCTTGTGCATATACAGCTCGGAGGCCGAACGGCGACGACGGATCACATATCCGTTGACTTTTCAATAGCGTATAGTAGCTCCTTGTCAGTCTTATTCTGTTAGGAGAATAAGGGGCTTCTTCTGGATATAAAGTTGGCCTAATGTTAATGAAAGAAGAAGGCAAGAATCAGTCTTCTGTCTGCCTGATATCTACTGCTTAGCTTCCGGCCTACGTACCCTTACCTAGTTGACAGGTCTTCTACCCTGAATAGTAGATATTTCCTTGACAGAGGTTATGACATCAAATTTAGATAATTAGGAATGCGCTCCCTTAGAATTGCGCCACCTCTACTCCGTAGGGCAGAACTTCAAACTTTAAGTTAGAAAGATGCCACCACCACCCATACTATCAAAATATACAGTACTAGAAGTACTGGAAAAAAAGTATGGCCCGAGCCGCGGATCGAACGCGGGACCTCTCGCAGATATGCTTGGGTTGTGACCCTAAGCGAGAATCATACCACTAGACCACCCGGGCAATTATAAATACTCTGCTTGATTTATGTATATATAAAGAAACTTCTAGTATTTGCCACATCTATACATCTCTTGCATAGTGCCTAACCAAACCCCTTTAGTTACATAGAACGTGAAACCCTTCCATATGCACAAGATGGCTTATCTGTAAGTCTATCCAGCACCTCTGTAATACTGCTCGTGACTTTGACTTCAAGACCTATGGCTAGAGCTCAGACTGATATATTATCTAGAGATTGTATGTGGGATAGCTGCTAGACTTTTTAAGTTACTTGCTGTAGAAAAAGGATATTTAGGTATTCTTCTTGTACACTACACTTAGTTATAAAAGGAAGTTTCTCTGTTTACGTATTATTCCCTGCTGTGTAGCGGAAGCTGCCAATATATCAATAGGTATACTTGAATTTCGCCTAGCTTTTTATACTGTCACTCGACATTTCTAAAAGTTACAGAGTAGAATCATGACTCTATTACCCAGGCATCAACAGGACCCATATGCTCTCGAACCCTGGCCAACACTTTAACTTGCTTCCTCACCACTGCTCTCTTCATGCATAACAAGGCCCAGCTCTGCACCTTTCTAGTGACATAGTACCTAGTCTTGTGGTGTGCCTAGTATATGATAACCTATTGAGAAGATTTGACTTTTCCTATCAAGCTGCCTTGTATCAGATACCCGGATCCCTATGAGTACTAGTATCTAACTGGTACTTTGATATTGGTAGATCGATCAAGTCTAACTTCACAAGAACCTGCTCCAATGGGGCCCTCCCAACGCCCGACAAGCCGAATGCTTAAGAGTCAATCTTTTTCCAAGTCACGGATCGCTGTCATGCTCCACACATCACCCTCAGGCTGCCAGAGAGCGTGACTACTGTTTACACTACATTCATTTTGTGCTTCTTGCATGGACCGAACTCTTCAGTATGGATCAAGGTAATGCGGCCGTTCGTGTAGAAGAAGCCGGGCTGTGGGATACCCTGAGGAAGGGCTTTGGTCAATGTCGCTGGCTGGGTGGCTTAATCTCGGCTTTAACAATGGTTTCCTGTGGAGGTGTTCCTCAGCACGAAAGAAAAAGCTCAGTGCATGAATGTATTGCCACAATAAACAATCCCTACCTTCTTGTCTGGTTCCCGAAATGCTTGCGGCTTTGTAAGTATGCAATAGGTGGTGGCATTCACTGCCTTGTAGTCGTGGCCATGGGCGCTCGAGTGGGTGAGCACCACTGATATATGTTATTGCTTGTGTTGGATCGAGATTTTTCTCTTTCTTTCTCTTTTTATTTACTTGAGCTCTCTCATTCTACTGAAGTCAAAGACTATTGTGTAACCCCATACTTATATGCGGTCCCTATACCGCCGTACACATAACATGATCGCTGGTTCTCATATTGATAGTCTGTGGCCGAGTCTTACTGCATGTCCGTCTCGGTGTGGTACTTCTCCCTCTATATCAACAGAAAGTCAGCATCTAACATGCTCTGTCTTACTTACAACTTTACATCTCCTTATGCGCACATAGTATATAAATCATCAAGGGAATTCGGACCATAATATAATGCTCGTAAGAATATGCTAAATTAAACATGTCGGATATCAATACAAAGGGCCACACCCCGGCAGATCTATGTATTTTTAGGATAAAGTCCAGCGTCAACACCTTTTTCCTAACCGGTCACCTTGAAGATAGACTCGGCAAGTCTCTTGACATTGTCAGAGGTGATACCGGCAACGGAGATACGACCATCCTTGGTGGCGTAGACGGAGTGCTAGAAAAAAAAAAAAACATTAGCAATCGGTGTCTTCGAAAGGCGACTGTACTGATGATTTCTACGTACCTCCTTGGCAAGAGCATCCATCTGCTCGGGCTTGAGACCGGTGTAGGCGAACATACCAATCTATGGCAAGGTGAGTTAGCATCTGCCGATAGATTCATTTAGAAAGCTCCTTACTTGGCTGGTGATGTGGGACCAGTCGTGCTTGCTGCCTAGCTCCTCCAGGTTCTTCCTGAGCAGGGAGCGCATCTCAATGATGCGGTCAGCCATGCCCTTGACCTCTCCCAGCCACTGCTGGTTGAGCTCAGGGTCGTTCATGATGGTGGAGGCAACACGGGCACCGTGGATAGGAGGGTTCGAGTAGAAGGGGCGGATGAGAATCTTAACCTGAGAGTCCACACGCTTCTTTTCTTCGGTGTTCTCACAAACAAGGGAGAAAGCACCGACACGCTCACCATAGAGACCCTATAACTGATCAGCTACTAGCGATTACTTTCCGGTACCTATATTCTTACCATGTTCTTGGCGAAACTCTGGCAGAGGGCAATGTTGTGGCCCTCGCTCACGAAATGCCTGGGGGCGAAAGCATCCTTGTCAGCATTGCCGCTGGCGAAGCCTTGGTAGGCCATATCGAAGAAGGCAAAGTGGCCCTTCTGCTTCATCACATCACTGATCTGGCGCCACTGCTCCTGGGTTGGGTCGACACCGGTAGGGTTGTGGGCGCAAGCGTGGAGAAGGATGATGCTGTTCTCAGGGGCGGCCTTGATGTCGGCAATCAGGCCCTCAAAGTCGAGACCAATGGTGTCCTTGTTGTAGTAACGGTACTTCTCAACCTCCAAGCCAGAGTCCTTGAAGACAGCGTTGTGGTTGGCCCAGCTAGGGTTGGGGAGGTAGATCTTCTTTGCGTGGGGATAGAAGCGCTGCAGGAAAGCACCACCGATTCTCAGGGCACCGGTACCAGAAATGGACTGGGTGATGACGAGGCGGTCCTCCTTAATCGCAGGGGAGTCCTTACCATAGGCCAGCTCTGCAGCGGCCTTGGTGAAGGAAGGGACACCGGTGATACCAGCGTACTCCTTGTCAAAGCGGGAGGCGACAACCTTGTCCTCTGCGGCGCGAACCGAGGGCAGAACGTAGGGCTTGCCCTTGTCATCACCTGTTGATTCATAAATTCGAATAATGTCAGCCCTCAAGTAGATAAAAAGCTCGCCATGGGGTGATTGGACTGAGTCAACAAGCGGCGAAGGAATAATTGCTTACGGTAAGCGCCAACACCCAGGTTGATCTTCTCCTTGAACGAGTCGGCCTTGAAAGCCTCGGTGATACCAAGGATAGCATCCTACAAAGCATTGAGTCAATAAGGAGACCGCAATTGAGTATGCTAGTGCACCGTAGAGCTTACGGGAGGACCCTGAGGGACGTTGGACCAGGCCGAGGCATGTCTGGCACCAACGACGACGGTGCGCAAGTTAGCGTCACGCGAAGCAGCCTTACGGCTGGCGACTCTGAGGGTAGACAGCATGGTTAATGGAAAGGGACAAAGATATATAACAAAGAAATCAAATTCAATTGCAGATTGAGCTGCAGAGGTCCTTTAGATGGAAAAGGTTCCAAGGAGAGAAGAAAGAGATCGGACAAGGAGGCGAGCAGATAAATAATCGGAGATGCTGCGTGTGTGTTATTTTTCGACTCATGTGAACTAGGAAGATTCCGGGGAGCGGGAGCCACCCATTCGGATTGGTCACTCTCTCCGCACTCACGGTTAAATTGATCATTCCAGCTTGTCAGCCTGAAGCGGGATTTTAGTTTACTTAATTTACTGGAGATGCATAAATAGTCCCGAAGTACACTACTACTACTACTACTACTACTACTAGTAAAAGGAACCCTGTATTGATCTTGTTCTTATTTTTAGAAGGAAAAAAAAAATTAGATCATCTTTCGGCAAGCCGATCGCTGTACTGTACGTATATCATACCATACCATACCATACAATGTTCCTTCCACTCGGGATTAATGAATCTGATAACAGATCCGAGTGATACGTAGTAGTATGATCTTTAGGCAAGAAGAATAGGTAAGGTACTAACTGAAAGTCCCTAGACGGTTTAAGCATGGCGCCACTGCATCGTTTCGGCGCTTTCGGCTTTCGGTGAGCTCTTTCAGAATTCTGGCCCACTGTGGCCTGAGGCCGCAGCCGTCGGGAGCGCCTCCCGATTCCCGATTCGGAAAACCCTTCCCCTCACGAAAGTTTGGGGTAAATTGGAGTTGGCCTGAGATGAACAACTTCTTTGTTTCTCTTTCTAAGGAGATCGGAGTTGTCTATGTCAATAATTAGGCATATGTAGTGAAGTTCTAAGTATGAAGATAATTGATAATATTGCCGTTTTCTCTTCCCAAGGTGCCTTTCCTAGGTATGACGTGCACACAATCGTATCGTAGTACGTAGTCTTAAGAGGACCTTCCGGAATCTGACAGCTCCATAGCGGTTAATTTCCCCACACGCCAAGTCATCGATCGTCAATAAACAACAGCAATGAAGGGCGTAAACAAGCTAACTGCTTACTGCTCTGAACTTTCTCTGACTCCCTGGACAGTTGAGCCCAGAGAGGAAAAAAAAGGATCTACTTTCGGCGATGAGCAGGGGATGACCGTTGTAGATAGCTAAATGTTGCTTCTATTCTTAGTATACTATAAGCTGTACAGCGAAAACTAGAGATTAAACTGCATGGGCATCACAAAAAGAAAAGGGCGTAGAAGAAGGCGAATAGTGGCTGCAGCCACTTTATCCCAGCCGCACACCAGCCTGGCGATTCTTCCGGGCCGTCGCTCCCATAGCATTATTCATACCAGTGTGCTGACTGCTGTCTAATGCGCTCATTGCCTCTCGTTTCTTTTCCTCCTCAATCTTCTTCAGTCGCTTCTCCGTCTTCATCTTACCACTTCCCTTGCCGTGGAATTGGTGACTCAGATGCTTAAATGCCTCTTTCTGGTTCATCATACGGCCAAACTCATCCACGTACTTGAGTTGCACATCGGGCTTGTATTCCTTGTTAAAGACTTCCGCCATATGGCGAGCATCCTGTTGGTCACGTTGCTTGTTCTCCCACCGCGCGTACTCTTCCCTTTCACGAGCAGACATCTGGTTGAGCTTTCCGGAGGCTCGGTCACGCTCACGCTGCAGACGAGCACGTTTTTCAGCGTCAGTTTCGAGGCGATGTTTTTCTTGTAAGAAACGCTGCCGATCACGTATGAGAGAATTATGGTCGGCAGCATCGGATGACTTGACCAAGCCACGCTGCTTGAGCATCGACAATGTAGCACCAAGACCTTGGTCCAATGTGGACTCCTCTTCCAAGCCGGTGCCACTGATCTGCTGGTTTGCTGTGGCTTCTTCGCTCTTGATGCGCGCTTTGAGGTCTTCCTCATCCTCAATATCATTGTATGAACGTTCCATATCCACGTCGCCGTTCTCCACAGGCTCGTCCTTGATACCAGGATCTTCAGGCGAAGCACGTGGCTCCTCGGCCGGCGTTGTTGTCCGCCTTTCACGGCGTTCAGGGAGTGTAGGTTTTTGTAAGTTAGAGACAAACTCCGAAGTCTCATCTATGACCAGACCGGGTTCTTCCTCGTTCTCACCCGAGCCTTCCACTTCCATTGGTGTTTGGGACGCTTCTTCTCTAAGTTGTCGTGCGATGTCCTCGGGACGTGTTTTCTGGCGTTTCTTGAAAGCAGCACGCCTCTGACGGGTAAGAGAGGCTTGTAGATCGTCGTCATCCACAAACGAGATATCCTCGCTAACGGACTTGCGGGGGGCAGGAGCTGGTACTGACTCTCCGTTACTTGCGTCAACCTCCATGGAATTCCCATTTGGTGTACCCGTCGACTCAGCCGTAGGGAATAAATCATCCTCATCCATAACAGCACGTTGCTTTGTCGTCTTGGCCTTCTTTTTCTTGGGTTTCTTCACTTTGACTTCGCTCACGTCCATATAATCAGACGTTGGAGTTTCCTCCGCCAAGTCAAGGCTGATAACATTCTTTTTCAACTTTTCAGAGACTTCTTGTCGCTTGGCCTCTCGTTCTTCAGCAGTCGACCCTTGAGCATCGAGTGTAAATCTCTTCCGCTTCTTGCCCTCGATTTCCTCATCGTACTGTGCGAGTATTCCAGTGTTTTCTTCCGTAGGATCGTAAACGGGTTTGCGTTTCTTCAGCTCAAGTTTCTCCGTAGTTCTCTCCTTCTCTTTAAGATCCAGATTTTCCAGCTCGTCCCCTTCCTCCTCGTTCTCATCGATCGTTGTATCTTTCAGCGTAAGAATATGATCCTCCCCACCATCGAAATCCCCAACAGCATGCCCAACCTTGACACCGGCCAAATCTTCCGCCGTATATTCAGCTGCACGAGCCCGCTCTTCCAGTTCTTCTGCAAGTTTGCGCGCGCGCTCTTTCTCGATCTTCTTCTGTCGTTTCTTCGTCTGCTGTAACCAAGTTTTCGTGTCCACGTCCGCATCGGCAGCTTCTCCTAGAGTCGCACCTTGAAGCTTCAAATTTCTCTGAGCCTCTTCGCGCGCCTTTCTGATCGCGGCGTTTCGCTCTTCCCGTTTCCGTTTCGCCTCGGCGTCATCCTGCATCTTCTTCCAGTTGGATGAGGCCAGCGCCTCGCGCGATTCAAGTGTGCTTCCCGGCTCGTCATCTTCGGAAGACGAGCTCGAACCGTTGTGTTCGGATTCCTTGAAAGCAGGACCAGAGGTGGCGTCCGCACCGGGGACGGGGAGCGGTTTTAAACCCAGCGCCACTCGGATTTTGTTATTCTGCTCGATGGAAAGTGCGTCGGCCATATTGGCGACTGGTGAGCGCTATCAAAGAAGAAAAAAAAAAGACACACTAGATAAGAAAGATACAAGGGAGAAGCGGCGATGGAAGGGTGTGTGGTCTGTAAAACCGATAGAGACTATGCGCCCGATTACCATCAATAGATTACAAGAGGTGAGGTCCAGATGGGGCTTACCTAACTGCAACTCGTCTCGGTAAGGTTTAGCGCGGCAAACCTGTTAGCGCAGGCTTTAGCGCGAAAGATAAAAGGCGGCAGCGGCTGGATCTCACAAATTTTTTCTTTTCTTCTTTTTTTCGAACATACACGGATCTGTGTCCAGCGATCCTGAGCGTGGAGGCTTGTTCTCTGCGTCTCGGTTGATTGCTGGACAGTTCGACGACTTAAGGAGCCATCATATTTATGGATGGTCGATTATTTCCGGTCGACAGATCTCAGATTAAAGGTCGACATTGGGTGTTCGCTCTGGTCTTGAGCTCCCTTCCCTTTGGGGTTGGTGAGCTCGGCTGGAGAGCCTGGTGCTCGGCGGCGTCATATTCCTACTCCCTTCACCGATTTGGCCGTTGGCCCATGAGGTTAGGGAAAAACCATGGCCAGCCAACATACTTTTTCCTTGCTACGTAAATTTTGCTACAGTCCTATACTAGATAGGCGTGATTGGTAGACTGTCTTTGCAGTGTAACTGATCGATTGAGCATATATCTCGTAAAGGTCTCAGAGAGCGTGCTTCGTATAACGGGCAATCAGGTGTAGTGCTGTTGATTCTAAACCTCAGTCCTATATGCGTTGCAGGAGTAACTACAAATACTCGGGCCATCATTCAACGTTGGAAGTACGGTTACAACAACTTCAAGTGTCCCGTCACGCCGTCGACCACACTCTTTGGTCCCAAAATTCCAAGCACAGTCCTGCTTCCACTGGCGATCTGTGTCCGGCCCGCATCTGTGATGACCCTGGCGCAGAGACCCAGGCTGATAGCCTGCGCCTGCAGGGTCTCCATTTCCTCCTCCGACTTGGTCTGTAGCGCGATCTTAGCCTGTCCCTGCGATTCCCAGCGGCGCAGCATAGACGAGTTCGGCGAGTGCGCGGTGAGGTACTTGTAGCAGGCGAGAGTGGCATGGGAGCATTGAGCGGCGATTTTGCCTATCAACAATACATTAGCCATCTCGTTCGAATGCGCTATGCATCATAGGAAGATAAAAGGGGGGAAGTAAAGACTCCATGTCGCGTAGGCCATTAAACAGTTGTAGAACCACAAAGTCCGAAAAGAAAAGAGAAGGAAACGCCTACCCTTCGTCATGCCCAAATCGGTCCTCACAACCAGAACCAACTTCACTTCTTCAGCACTTTTGTCGAAGTTGGCCAATTCGCTTCCATCGCCTTCGTCCTCGCTGTCGGATTCTTCCTCTTCCGCCTCTTCGTCCGAGGAGTCTTGGTGCACTTTCACATTGTAGCTGTTTGGCCACCCTTCTTTCTCTTTCGAAGAGAACAGGCCTAGCGAGGAGCCTTGTCCGATAAAGTAGCCGGTCATACCGGCGATGATGGCTGTAGCGACTACATATGCCGTTGTCGAGGGGGGAATGCGATCTAGGTCGGCCATTTTGGAAGATGTGTTGAAGCTGGATGGATGGGTTTTCTGTGATCCGCGCGGAATTAGACCCGGTTTGGTGGGTGCGGGTACCTCCAGTCAACAATGACCGCTTTTCTTTTAATTTGTACAGAATGAGGCTTACAAGGGTTTAATCTAAACTTTATTAGATACATGACTATGGTTCTATTTGTTTTCTTTTTTCTTTTTTCTTTTTTTTTTTTTTAAAAAAAAAATTAAGTATCTGTAAGAGAGCATGGGTGGCTGAGAATAGGGAATGTGATCAAGGCCCAAAAGTGATCCAAGTTTTATCTCAGATACTGCTAGTTCATTATATACATCCCTGACCATAAACATCGAAGTAGACATCATCATCCTCATGAGCAGCGATGATTGTTTAGCGAGCAGCGGGGGCTCCTGTGTTTCCCATTCGGCGGCCCCTATCCCATATAGTCAGTAAAAGATAGCGATCGATCGGATCAGTCAAACTCACATCATAGACCGGCTGAAGAAGCTGATGAAGATCATGAAGAGCCAGCTCGGGATTGCACTGAATGCATAGATAACATAACCTGCTGGGACCAAGAGTCCCCGCTCCGCAAGCCAGCTATCCGTGGCGTGGAAGGAGCCCTCGTACTCGCCCCTCTTCTCATAGGTCTTCTCAGAGTGAATCTTGTAAAGGGACTCGGCCGTTACAGTTGTCGCGTTGAAGTACACATTGTACTGAGCGGTGGCAGGGCGCTCCTCGCCGACCTGAGCAGGGACCTTGAAGTACGAAACGGACGGAGAACCAGCGGCCCAAGCAGAGCATAGGACCCTGTTCGATTCGCAGTCCAGGTAACCAAGGTTGGGCGAGGTCGGATCAGCAGAGAACAGGAGAACGGATTCCTAAACGAGAAGGGTTAGTTAGACCCGCCTCTACGTCCATGCGCCTGTGACCCCCTATTTTAGGGCCCTTACATTAAACGATTTCTCCGCTTGATGACAACGTCCAAAGCATGTCTTGTTTCCGCCGGTAATGAAGACGAACCAGTCCTTAGGCTCCTCAGATGGTGCCAGAAGGGATTGCCAGTTGGACAGGTTGAAAGGGGTGACAGTCTTTTCTTGAATCTTCTGTTCGACCACCTTCTCAACAGGGGCGGGGATCACTGGAGTAGCCGTGGGCAGATAAGACTTGGCTTTGTTGAACCAACCCTGGACACGATCCGCGATGGGAACCTGCTCTTGCGCCGCAGCAAGCGCTGGGAGGATGGGGAGGAGCTGGATGAAACGCATGATGCTAGAGGCAACAATGACGCGTAGGTCAGCAACTAAGGGATCGATAGCTGACTAAAATGTTTCGATATAACGAACCTGGGTTGGATATTGACAAAACGAGCGCACTTTGGGAGGAAGATGAACGATTAGGGAGGCCAAAGTACGGACAGCAGGCAGCGAGGAAGACGGGCACCTGAGTTGTGGAAGAGTGAAACGGGCCACGATGGACATAAATGTAAAGTTGGTCTCTCCGCGGCAGGGCCTAACGGAGACTAAACTCGAAATGGAGCGAATCACGTTTCGTCGCGGGGGAAGGAGCCCACTTGACTTCGAAGTTCCCGTACCTTGTTCTGCATGGACTACAATGGAATTTACCAAGAAACAAAACACAGAAAATCATTGGCATTTTCCACCAACGTCTTTGTTATCAGTTTTTAAAAACTGTTCTTCAGTAAAGACAACCTCCATAATCAGATTTACTCTTACTAGATGAACGAATCAGAGAAAAAGAAAATAGATATTTATTTATTAACTTCTGTTCTCATTTTCTCACCGTGTGAGAGAAGCAAGTCTCAGTACGTGTGAGGCTTCATATAAGCTCCGGCGCGTCGATCTTTCCTAGCCGCGGATCTGGTTCAACACCAGTAAACTATAAGCGAAGCTTAGAAAGAAAGTAAATAGAATGTAGCGGGAGGAATATGGGTTTAGTATGAGGAATTCGATCCATGATGAAAGAAAGACATGCTTAGAAAAAAAAAAGGATAATTCTGGAAGGTGGTATAGAATATACGATGGCACCTTCCCTATACTTTATGCCCCTGGTCCTCCTTCCTCAAGGGTCTTCTTTACTCTTTCAAAGTATACTACTATATCCTTCATATTGTGGCTATCATGCAGCACCCTTGACTCGCCACATGTCATTACTCAGACATCACTTTTCTGCGGATTTCCATTTGCGCATCTGTACTAGTAGCAATGAGGTGGCCCCTCGTTCCGTTCCCCAACGTCATCGCACTAGTGGTCACGACAACTGCTCTCTGGAGTTATTGCCTTGGCGCTGCAATACAAGGAGCAGATGATCTCGTACCTAGCCCTGGTAAGCACTGTTTTCTAAATCTGGAAATCTCGAGGAGAGTTTAATCAGCATTGCAGCAGTGGGCTGGATTGAAGAATCCAAGACAATTGCGCGCCTGCAGACAAATAATCCTTCTCTCGATGATTTCACCGTCTGTACTGACCTCGATGGCCCCTTCGCACCATTCTGTCTCCCGCAGGATGGAGCCGATGTTGTAGTAGACGCTACCTACTATGTTACTTGGAACGTCGATTTCTATCCCCTCAATGCTTCTATTACTATTGAAATGAGATACTCAAATTCCACTGTTGGAGACTTGGCGTTCACATCTGAGAAAATCGACAACAGCTACGGGTATCTTCCCCTCTACATGCGCAAGGAATGGCTCCAGGAGAAGGCGCAGAATGATTTGGCACTGTACCTTATCGAACTGAACCCTGCGTCGGGCACACGGGCGAGTATTCGAAAAGGACCGATGATCACACTTAATCCTAAACCTGTAGAGCACTACAAGCCTTCCCCCACCCATGGCTTTCAACAAAACCGCCCTGTTTATTGGTCTCCCGCTAAGCCTCAGTGCCATTATCATTGTTGTAGCTGGTCTATTCTTTGGCATGCGGGGGAACAGAAGGATTGGACTCGGGAGCGTTATGGGATCTCGAGGTAAAGGGTACGGGTTTGGGAAGTCCAAGAGCCAGCGCCTCCGCAATAGTAGAAGCGAGTTCTATCATTCCAATGCCGCCTCAGCGTTGAGAAAATATACGGACGACATCGACTCAGGCTTGTTTAGAAGTGGCAGATGCTGACTTGTATAACGAGATTTAGCGCCCTGCAAGATTTGCATTCAAGCAGGATTCGATGAGGTTAAGGAGCTGGAGGAGATGATGAGCCATGGTTGTGCCATCGGTCCGAATCACTCAGCATCCTTACAGGATACGCCTGTGCTTGACGGAAAGGGTTACAAATACATTAGGAGGCATAGGTCGTAATTATTTTTTGACTTTCGTCATTCTCTCAGCTGATAAAAGCGCATTGGGCTACTATATAAATACAACCACGATCCACTACTAAGTATGTTATTTGCTTAAGGTATGAATATTCTGGGTGGGTTATCCATTACCAGTAGTAGTACTCGGTACGGTTCGTCTGATGGGGCCAAACCAACCGGAAAGTGAAGAAAGTCCATTAGTACGCCCGCGCCCGCGCCCTGAGACTGGAACTTTGTACTCCGTAGTACCTAACGTATTGCCTAGGCGGTCAAGGGCGGTGCCGGAGGGCATGACGTTGACGCAACCGGTGAAGGTTGGCGTAGTCATCAAAGTTACCCAGTTAATTACCCTTTTCCCATGTTGTGTCTGGGCTAGATTAAAGTGGTGCGTAAAAAGAGAAGTACTGTGTTCTCAGTAGGCGATCCGGTCAATCAATATCAGAAACCATATTAACTACTCCGTAACTGCAGCAGGTAAGCTGTGGTAGTTAGTTACTAGTGGAGTAGATATGTAAGCAGACGTAGCGAGTGCCTAGTTAGTGATACTAGTATCTTGATTATCAATTGTGTGCTTTCTAGAACCTATTTTTCTTATTTTTACCTTTTTTTTTTTTTTTTTTTTTTAAAAAAAAAAAACTCGAGGGTAATGCCCTGCGTTCTACGGAGTACTAGGTGTAATCTTGGAGATTGTGAAGGTGCCCACAGTTAAGTTATTTGAGCGCCCCTCCCTCCTTACAACCAATGCCGATGTCGGTTGCCAGTATGAGATTCCTTGTTGGAAGCCACTCCCTATGGACAGGGAGCATAACTACCTCGTAAAACCCAACGCACAGGTATTGATGGTAATATTACATGCATACTGTACATGCTACTAAATTTGAGGAGGGGCAAAAATCTCTAATATTCTAAGAGAGTTAATTGGTGACAATTGGTGCAAATTCGAACAGTGTCTTTGGTGGCAAAACTCTCTCCCTTAATGATCCTAACAGACGATATCAACGCTGAATAGTAATGCGTATTACTACTGCACTACGCTAAGCCACTTAGAGGTTGGGGAAGATCCTCAAAGATGAGCAATTGGGGCTTCCGCAAGCGCTCTGGGCAAGGGATTCCCCACACAAAGTTGCTCGGCCTGTGAAATTTTCTTTCATTGCCGCAAATCTGTGAAGTGGACGGCCGAGTCATACCTCCGAAAAGAGTAGACCGCCCGCCTTTTAAATGGACTCCACCCACTTTTCCTGCCTATGACTCTTTTCCTGCATTCCTTTTTTTACCTCCCGGATATTTCATATAAACATTAGATCGTTTGGCCTGTGACTCACTGTGAGTGCTGCTATATATACCTACATATACTTCATCCAACTTGATCTAACTCCAACCTCGTTCCAGCGTCTTTTTCTCCCATCCAACTTCTAGATTTGACCCCACTATCTATAGATATCGTCACAATGTGCCCCGGTGCAGACAACGAGCCCAATGGGCATACGGCCCCTGCCAATGGCAATGGTATGCATGGAAAGCACTTCTTGTTGTAATACTTGGCTGACTTCTATTGGAAGGCGAACACCCCGGCTTCACTGGTATCGAGACTCGCCAGAACCCTCACCCCTCCGCCTCCCGGAACCCCTACGGCCACAACGTTGGTGTGACCGACTTCTTGAGTAATGTCTCCCGGTTTAAGATCATTGAGAGCACCCTCCGTGAAGGTGAACAGTTCGCCAATGCTTTCTTTGATACCGAAAAGAAGATTGAAATCGCTAAGGCTCTGGATGACTTCGGTGTCGACTACGTGAGTCATACGAAATGTGGTTCGCTCATTGAAGATTGTTTCCTAACATTCTACCTGTTGTAGATCGAACTTACCAGCCCTTGTGCCTCTGAGCAGTCAAGACTTGACTGCGAGGCCATCTGCAAGCTCGGCTTGAAGGCCAAGGTACGTTGGATTCCTGGATAGTTGTTCTCCCATCTTTGAACGGCACTAATCCACTCCGTAGATTCTTACTCACATTCGATGCCACATGGACGATGCCCGTGTTGCCGTCGAGACTGGTGTTGATGGAGTGTAAGTCTGCCCAGATTTTCCTTAGAATATCTCATTCTTACAATTTCTAGTGATGTCGTCATTGGTACTTCGTCCTACCTCCGTGAGCACTCTCACGGCAAGGATATGACCTACATCAAGAACACTGCTATTGAAGTTATCGAATACGTCAAGTCCAAGGGCATCGAGATTCGATTCTCTAGTGAGGACTCCTTCCGTTCTGACCTCGTCGACCTCTTGTCCATCTACTCCGCCGTTGACAAGGTTGGTGTGAACCGTGTTGGTATTGCCGATACCGTCGGCTGCGCTTCTCCTCGCCAGGTTTACGAGCTAGTTCGTGTCCTGAGGGGTGTTGTTGGCTGCGACATTGAGACCCACTTCCACAACGACACTGGCTGTGCCATTGCCAACGCTTACTGTGCCCTGGAGGCTGGTGCCACTCACATCGATACCTCCGTTCTCGGTATCGGTGAGCGTAACGGTATCACCCCTCTTGGTGGTCTCATGGCTCGTATGATGGTTGCCGACCCTGCCTACGTCAAGGGCAAGTACAAGCTGGAGAAGCTCAAGGACATTGAGGATCTCGTGGCCGAGGCGGTTGAGGTCAACATTCCTTTCAACAACTACATCACCGGTTTCTGTGCTTTCACCCACAAGGCTGGTATCCATGCCAAGGCCATCCTGAACAACCCCAGCACCTACGAGATCATCAACCCTGCCGACTTCGGCATGACCAGATACGTTCACTTCGCCTCTCGTTTGACTGGCTGGAACGCTATCAAGTCTCGTGCTCAGCAACTCAAGATTGAGATGACTGACAGCCAATACAAGGAGTGCACGGCTAAGATCAAGGCTCTTGCTGATATCCGTCCTATCGCCGTTGACGATGCCGACAGTATCATCCGTGCCTACTACCGTAACCTCAAGTCGGGTGAGAACAAGCCTCTCCTTGATCTGACGGCTGATGAGCAGGCTCAATTTGCTGCCAAGGAGAAGGAGCTTGCTGCTTCTGGTGTAGTGGCTTAAACGGTGCCCGCTTATCTTGGTTCAAATCTTTTCGCCTCCCTTTCTATCTCCTTTCCCTTTTGTGTTTCTTATTTCCCCTTTGCATTTCGGAATTTTATCTTTGGATTAAAGGGCCCAATGTTTTAGAACTTTCATATCTCAGCGGCTCCCGACGAAGATGCGATTTTTTCATGATTTGATGTTTATTTATGCGTCTTGGGCTTCATCGTTATCGGGTATTCAAAAGTCTTGTCCATGGATGTGAAAAAGGAAGGAGAGACTGGTGTTTGGAACGCGTTGGTCTGGAGGAGCTTGTATATAAGCAGACTTAAAAGGACTGCATTTTTCCTCTGATAAACTTAACGCAGAAAATTATTTCGTCATTGATTTATGTCTTATTGGCTGTTCGGGCTTGCTTACTAGCAACTTGTGTATGCAAAGTAGAAAGAACCTGGGGAACTAAATTCTGCGGGAAGGGGCGCCGATGCGACGCTGGAAAGATGTTGCATGTGCGGCACCAGCCGAGGCTGTGGTGGAATCATCGGCATTCTTAACGGCGGCTTCCCTCTACTAGTACTAGACCCATTTCCCTTGGAGCGTCAATTCCGACCCTTCGACAGCTCTCGTTATCTTTTATCTTCGGAAGTCATCTTACTTTCTTATCAGTCTTCGAGGCTGTTTTGAACATAAATATGGCGTCCTCGGTTCTTCCAGTTGCTTTACAAAATAAGCTGCTGGGATACAGCAGAGCTCGTAATGCGCAGTTGGCGGCGTTGAATTTCGATATGTAAGTGGAACATCATTCATTCCATTCCTCCCCCCCCGCTGTCCCCCAACAGCTTCCCAGTAGGATGTCACCCCGGACGCACGGTTCCTAAAGCTTCCACTTTGGTCCTCTATGTCTCTAATGGCACAACAGTCTTAAGAACATTGTATTTCTAGTTTTTATATTTCGCTACGTTCGCAAGACGTTCTATTCTTTACGCGGTTATGGTGTCCTCGGTAGCATCCGGAATGTCTACGCCGCGATCCGTCTCTTCTGTTACTCCATTTTCTTGCGCTTCCCTGGTGTCCGCGGTCAGGTCGACAAGCAGGTTTCGTCAGCAATTGAAAACCTGGAGACAAAGCTTGTTGCAACCGGCCCTGGCGTCACGAGATATTTGAATCTGCCTAAAGAAGGATGGACCCCCGAACAGATCCGCGCCGAGCTTGAGAAGCTGGCAAATATGGAGCATACCCGGTGGGAAGATGGTCGTGTCAGCGGAGCTGTGTATCACGGTGGACAAGATCTTTTGAAGCTTCAGGCCGAAGCGTTTGGGCAGTTTGGAGTCGCCAATCCCATCCACCCGGATGTTTTCCCTGGCGTGCGGAAGATGGAAGCTGAAGTTGTAGCTATGGTAGGTTGGGTCTTGTCAAGCAATATGAATCTGATGACTCATGTAATCGAACTCAGGTACTTGCACTGTTCAATGCCCCGTCTGATGGCGCTGGTGTTACTACGGCCGGTGGCACTGAATCTATCCTGATGGCCTGTTTGGCAGCGCGGCAAAAGGCGTATGCTGAACGCAGAGTAACAGAGCCAGAAATGTGAGAATAAGCTACCTATGGTAAACTGGTCCGTACTGACAGTTGCAGGATCATTCCTGATACCGCTCATGCTGCTTTCTACAAGGCTTCCGAATACTTCGGAATCAAACTGCATCGCGTTCCCTGCCCAGCTCCAGAGTACAAAGTCGATATTCCTTCGGTGCGTCGATTGATCAACCCGAACACTGTCCTGCTCGTCGGTTCCGCGCCAAACTTTCCTCATGGCATCGTTGATGATATTCCTGCCTTGTCCCGACTTGCCACAGCGTACAAGATCCCTCTGCATGTTGATTGCTGCTTGGGCTCCTTTGTGGTTGCATTCCTTAAGAAGGCCGGCTTCCCATCTCCATATGAAGAGGAGGGTGGATTTGATTTCCGCCTCCCTGGTGTGACCAGCATCAGTGTAGACACACACAAGTACGGATTCGCGCCGAAGGGCAACTCCGTGTTGCTATACCGAAACCGGACCTACCGCAGCTATCAGTATTTCGTATATCCTGACTGGTCCGGTGGCGTCTATGCATCCCCATCCGTGGCAGGATCTCGGCCAGGTGCTCTTATCGCGGGTTGCTGGGCCAGTCTGATGAGTGTTGGAGAGTCTGGTTACATCAAGAGTTGCCTTGACATTGTTGGTGCAGCAAAGAAGTTCGAGGCGTCTATTAGAGAGCACCCGCTCTTGTCGAAGAACCTTGATGTTGTTGGAAAGCCCATGATCAGCGTTGTTGCTTTCCAGAGCAAAAACGGTGCCGTTGACATCTACGATATGGCCGATGCTTTGTCCGCCAAGGGCTGGCATCTCAACGCTCTCCAATCGCCTGCAGCGATTCATGTAGCGTTCACTATTCCTACAGCCTCTGCTATTGACAAACTCACTACTGACCTCATTGAGGTTGTCGAGAAGGAATTAGATAAGGCAGAGGAGAGGAAGCGTCAAGGAAAGTCGTATATCATCAAGCGTGGTGATACGGCTGCCTTGTATGGCGTTGCCGGCAGCATGCCAGATAAGAGTATTGTCAGTCGTCTGGCAGAAGGCTTCCTGGACACTCTGTATAAAGCCTAGATGGTTCTTATTGATTGCAAAAATGCATTGTTAATATTCTTTGAATGCGGATAGTCCTGATATGGCCTGGAAGAAACGCGTCTTCCTGCGACGTAAATTGGGAAAATGGCGTTTCTGGCGTTCAGACTGGGCTTCGCATTCACTAACGTAAATAAACCAGACAGTCTATCCTTATATCTATCTTTAAGAGTTCCGAGTAATATCACATCGATATTCTCAAGATCACATAGATTTCGAGTGCCCTAATATAACACAGTAGCAAAGTATGTATAGTACAGTAAGTCATGTCGAACAAAGACTGAAAATGTAAGAAATAAGACCGCTCCATGCAAGCAGATACAGAAAATATTTCAACGCAAAAGGTTCCAAGCAATTTCGGAACTGACTCTTCCAGCTTTACAGGCATCATGGTGCGTTGACCATAGAAGCCAGCGTTACCGTACCCCAGATGAGCCTTCCGAGCGAAGAGTGAAAATAAAGTAAAAGCAGAGTATCAATATAGAATACCAACATCTATTGATTCCTCTTCGCCTTCCACTCAGCACCCGATGTCTGTTCGATGTAGTATCCTGGATCCGGCTTCCGCTCAAAATGGACTTCTTGTTTTGTTAGCCGTCTATCGACCTCACGGACATCGACCAGCTCCTTGACTTTCATGATCTGACCGGCGACTGACGGAGACACGGGGTGGAACACAGTCGCCATGCGCTTCTTGAGGCCCAGAGCCTTTAGGACGTCTGTTGTCCTCCGGGGGAGACCGATGGCGGAGCGAACAAGGGTGACGCGGAAGTAGCTCATTTTGAAATGTTGTGTTTATATGAGTCTTGAATCGTCGGAGAGGTATGTTATAGGGATTCTCTTTTTCTTTTGGGGTCGTTTTTCTCAATTTCGTTGCTCGGTCTGGAAATGGATTTTCGGCGGAGGGTCCGTGGTTTCACGTCTGATTGTATGGCACAGATGACCAAGTTATCGCGACAAGCCTGGAACTGTGTTTTGATTTCAGGATATGGGACAATCGCTCTAAGACAGATAATTGTATATCAAACCATCGACGGCGGCGGGAATTTTGGCATTCCGATCCAGTCGGCCTGCAGGCGGAGAGTCACGTGTATAGTATTCTGCCGGAATCTTCCTGTCGGGCGGAGCGCACCGTTTCAACTTGACAATCTATTTACTTGAATGAAACGCGGGGATGTGCCATTGACTGCTATAAGACATAGTGGCATGCGTATGGCTGCTATCTTGCTGTGATTCTACGTACGTCTGAACGGAGTCTACCTTAGGTTCAAAGCGCTGTGCGTTTAAGAGTGTATACTTGGCACATTATTGATTGCGGCGGCGTCGATTACATTGCGACGAGGGGTTATTACGGATATTCTTATGACGGTTTCTCTGTCGCTCTAATTGTCTGGTTGCACTACGGAGCTACCGAGTTTAATGATCCTGTAGCAGACAGGGCACTTACCACTGGTATTTTATACCGATTTAGTACCTTACCTAGTGTATGATATCGTCGAAATGGCACGAGGCGGAGACTCGGAAGGAACGGTAGCTCTACCACGATTAGAAGATATCCTGCGTCACCCTGAAGATCTGGACAAGATCGCCGGACTGAGAGCGGAATACTCGCGGAAGAAGGCAGCCGTCGATTCACAGCTCCGAGAAGGCCTCCGGGATCAATTGGAGACAGTACAACGCAGCATCAGCGCGCTAACCGAAGGCCAGCGCCAGGTTTCGAAGACGAAAGATGAGCTCCAGGGAATCGACAAACTATGCGCCGAGTCGCAATCCAGCGTCGAGGATTTCTCCCAGATTGATCGACTTGCCAAAGTGCAGAGGAACTTCGAGGCGGTCTTGACGATGAAGGAGGGACTGGAGAATTTTAGTGAGAATCTTGCTGAGGTTGAGAATCTTCTAAGAGAGGATGACGATGATCTCGAGAACCAGCCGAATTTGCTGCGAGCTCATATGCAGATCTCTAAATTGAGAGATTTCCGAGACGAGGCGATGGATCAGATACGGAAGGCTCAGGACCCGAGCAGCGAAGCCACGCTGGAGGATTACTTCCAGGGTCTAGATAGTGTTATCGACTGGTTCGATGATCATTTGGGAACTGCTTGTATGAATCTGATCCCCCTTGTGCAGTCTGATAACCCTAGCATGGTTGTCCGGCTAGCTGTTGTTGTCATGAACGAGGAAAAGAAGGATGAAACGGTTCGTGCTTTGCAGGAAGCGCAGAAGGACCACCAGGATTTGGCAGGCCGGTTCAAGTCGATGAATGTGGGCCCCAAAACGATTAGGGGCTATAAAGAAAAGTTTCTCCAAGCCATTGAATTCTACGCACAGGATCAGTTCGAGAATACTAAGGAGGAGTTTCTCGGCGATCCAGATATCCTAGAGAAGAGTTTCCGATGGTTCTTCAATGATCTCTTCTCTGTTAAGCAGGGCATGCAGACATTGATGCCAAAGAAGTGGAAGATTTACAAGACATACACCGATATATACCACCGCATGATGCATGACTTTTTCGTGGATCTGATCAATGACCCTGAGCTACCCCCAGATAATCTGCTTTCTATTATTCACTGGAGCGAGAAATACTATAAGAAGATGAACAAGCTCGGGTGGAAACAGACAGACCTGCGACCAAACATTCTCGACGATCGTGAACCTGAGCTCATTCGACAGTGGCAGAGCATTATCATTAAAGCGGTCGAAGAGTGGATGGAGAGGATCACAGAGACCGACAGGAATGGCCTGGTGGAGCGGGTTCCTGACTCTCTGGACACTAATGCAGAGGGCTACTTCCGCACCAAAACCCTTCCAGATATGTGGCGCATGATTCATGAACAAATCCAGGCAGCTTCGGCCTCCTCTCGTACAGACCTGGTCGAAGGCATTATCGATGCTATGTTCCGAGTGCTCAAGGGACGTCAAGCCGCTTGGCAATCGCTCATCGAAGAGGAGTGCGCCAAATATAAGGCGCCAGGCGGCGACCAGCTTGATGGATTGCAGCTGTTGCAGGATTGGCTTGTTGCGGTAGCCAACGACCAGATTGCTTGTATCGATGACAATGATGAATCAGGACAACTGGGCTACCTGTCGAGGTTCAAGCGCGATTTCGAGGCGCACGTCGACCCGAAATACATGGCGGCGCGAGCTATACCCGAGCTGGACGCTCTTCGCGACGGTTACGTGGACCTAAGTACCTATTGTCTTACTCAATTCGTCGAAGTGGTTTTTGCGGTCGACTTCCGCTCTACTATCCCCGATTTCTTCACTCAGAAGTGGTATGGCGACTTTGCCATCAAGCGAATCACTTCTACATTCGAAGATTACATGGCCGATTATTCCCCTGTCATTCACCCATCTCTTATCGACATATTAGTTGAGGAACTCTCCGACGAACTCTTGGTCCGGTACCTGTCATCTGTGCGCAACCGCGGTGTCAAATTCCGCCGACACGCTGATCCATACACGGACAAGTTTAAGGACGACGTTCTAACCGTTTTCGCCTTCTTTCAAAACTATCCGGACTCATTTGCCAGTACCATCAAGCAAAAGTGGCGGCTCGTCGACTGGTTGGTTCGCCTGCTTGAATCAGAGAAGGGTCCTGCCGTTGTTGCAGTCTATGAGGACTTCAAAATGGAATACTGGGATCTGCAGCTGACGTGGGTTGAGGCAGTGCTTAGGACAAGGGATGACTTTGAGAGAAGCATGATCAGTGCTGTCAAGGCCAAAGCAGCTGAGTTGTCCGTGGAAAGAGGTATGGAGACTCTTATGAGCCGGATGAGGTAGTTGAATGGTATCTAGGGGATGAATGACAGTGCTCTATTCAGCGTGGCGTTAGGAGTTGTTTCTAGTTAGATGCCAGGGTCGGCTGTTGCTAAGATGTATTCTATAATATGAATCCAATGACTCCAATCTATATGCTCGCTTTACTTCGGCTAGAAGCAAGCCTAATTATGTACTTGATGCTGGGTATATAACAGTCAACTAATTAATATTCACACCACCCCCAGTACCCCCATCACTACTAGCATCCATCTTACCGTCTCCATCTCCGTCTCCGATAGACTGAAAATCTAAGCTCCTTTCCACTACAGGCAAGTATTTCTCCCGCAAACGCGCGTTCATTCCACCTTCATCGGCCTCTGGGTCAAGTTTCTTCGCACCCATCTCACAAATACATACTGTTTCAAGGGGGAAGTCCTTCGCCCACACAAAGGGATATTGGTGTTTGGCGCCAGTGGCATCGTTAGACGCTCTCCTGTTGTTCGGTGACTTGTCTCCTTCACTCTCCGAACGGCTGGTCTCATTCTCTGAAAGATCCTCCCCGTTCAGCTGACCTTGCTCACTGCCACCCCCGCTAGTTGTAACCACAGTAGTCCGAGGAGTCGTTCTATCGCCGTCAATATAATAGTTCCGATAATGGGACAAAAAATCCCGTGCATCGAAAGTGTATTGGCTTTTGCGATTTTGGCCTTTCTGTGGCCCTCCACCCCGTGCTCTCCCACGGACATAAATTGTATTCGCTACCGTAGCGTGCAGTAGAAGCGGTCTGATCTTCGGTTTTGAAGCTGTAGAATTCTTCGATACAGGCTGGGTGCTTATCGGTTTGTCTGATGTTCGTGCGGTTTCTTCCGCAACGTTGGCTGGCATTTCCTCGAGGAGGGAGGGTTCTTCAACCGCCGCCTCTTCTGTAGACTTATCGTTCGTCTGCTTGCTATCTTTCTCTTTTTTCTGGTCACCGAGCAAAAATCCAGCCTCCAAGAATCTGTCCCGCAGCAGTTCACAGAAAGGATACAAGCGAGCAGTAGGATCGACTGGCGCCGCATGTAGGACCGTCGCGGCGCGTGCGCGAGGAAGCGCATGCAAAGATTCAAGAGAAACGGTGAACGGGCTCGGGGGACTTTCACCTTGCGATTTGGCGACTTCCCCGGCGCTCGACGAAGATGACTGTTCTGCCGCTGAAACTAAAGGTGTATTTCTCTTCCTCCCTTGTGCGCGTGCGCTTGCGATTTTCTCGGCCTCACGCACCATGGTGACTAGGTCTAGCGATTGGAAGAACTCGATAGCCTCGCTTAGACGATCCTTCGTTGGGAGACTCATGACACCCAGAGTCAGGTGCAGGGTACCGACGGGACGGAGCGCACCATCAGGGATGAGTGGCTGCTCTGGAGCTCCATATCGAAGTGCCCGGCGAGGGATCGAAGCTTTGAATGCTGCCAGTGAGGATTCCAGTTGAGGGAGGGATGTTGAGTTGACTAGAGGGAGGCAGAGAAAGTGGGTTAAGGGTGGTCTTTTTTCTTTCTTTTTTGCTTCGGACATGGCTGTCGTCCACTGTTTGGGGTGGTATGAGCGAAAGAAGATAAATGCTGATGGCCAGGATGTTGTGACTCTTGTGAGGGGCCTGCACGGCGGGGGGGATATCATTTATATAGCACTTTAGATCGTTGGTTACCCCCCAATGGTCTGCTTGGCAAGGAAGATGAAGCGTCGAGTCAGACGCTAAATATAGTCTATGCGATATATGTGGCGCTAGCAGTAACGAGTTGTCTCATAATATGGTTGTAATTGGTGATTTAAATGGAATAGAATGCGGAGAAAGTCTCGCCGAATGGAGTTAAGCTCCAAATAAGCTATGATGCCATCCATTTCCTTTTACCTCCACTTTTCTCTGCTTTTGCACCTCCCAGCGTCCCTCTTCGATAACCTGCTATCAAATCTCTAGAAGACAGTCTCACTCAGTCAACGTCTCACGTATTCCATTATGCTCTCCCGCTTTCCTCGAGCTCTCCCAGCGACCATCCGGCCGACCCTTCGCGTCGGCCGGATCTCAGCGCCAGTAGCTTCTCATTACCAACCCCAGTCGAGTCCGGCTTCTCGCTCATCTCGTCGGAGCTTCCATTGCACCCCTGCAGCTCGTAAGGGCATTTTCCCAGGCTCGTCGGACCCTCCGGCCCCAAACCCGCAAAGCAACAATGTCGCGGGCGCCGCCAGCCATGTCACCGAGCCATCGCCATTAACAGATGCAGAATACCATGACTATGCGGAACATTATCTCAATGTGCTCCAGAGCGAGATCGAGAAGGTCCAAGAGGAGGGTGCTGACATAGAGGCTGAGTATAGTGTGCGTTTTCTCCGTTGCTAATTTCTCTTTTAAGCTCTTGGATGGGCTTTAGCTCTGTCACTCTTCCATCTGCTTTACTTCCCGCCGAAAAATCAATTGGTATACGGCATGCTAATTACTGCCTTGCATATAGGCCGGAGTAATGAACATCGTTCTTCCCAGTGTCGGCACCTATGTCCTGAACAAGCAACCCCCCAACAAGCAGATCTGGCTCAGCTCCCCTATCTCCGGTCCCAAGCGGTATGACTGGGTCGTGGAGGGAGACTACATGCACGAGAAGCAGGATAGTAGGCCTTTTGCTAGTGGGCAATGGATTTATCTCCGGGATGGATCGAACCTGACGGACCTGTTGAATACCGAGTTGACCTTGAATATCCCGAGAGATGTCTACACTGAGGAACAGTGATCTCTTTGTTCTGGTTGCAGTGTATGCGACTTGGATATACGAAGATGTGCCTATGTTGCCCGGGCCACGAATACATGAAGTTGTGGTGGTTGTAGGGTATGAGGGCTCTCTTAACTGAATCTTGGTGGACTATACATTTCGGCATCGGGTACTACACCATATACTTGTTGCGCAGACATAATACAATATGCATATTTGAATTTCGTGGTGAACTACCGTTCCCAGATTAAGTATTGGGATCCCACTGCTCTGTATATTCCGAGCGCACAAGCGACCAAATCTAGAAGGCGATCATTGCCTAATAGTACCACGTCGTCATTATGATGCGATCACTACTGGGTCTTCACTTGACGCCCACTAACGCGCCTCATCTCTCATGTTTCACCAGCACAAAGTCGAGAGATACGATGCCTCATCAACAAAATTCCCCCAGCCGGGTCCGACCGTAGGTCCCTCTCACATCATGCACACGGCAAGATCCCACTAACACTTCAGTCTTCCGATCAATGCGACCACCGGCTCGAGGGCGGGTATCCGACTGTATTGCGCTCGCGATGTCGCATAACCCCCCGTGGCGAAGACTGAATGTCTATACTTTTCCTTCGAGTCCACAAGGGAGAAGACGAGAGGTTCCAGTATGTGTAGTGACGTATGACGGTATCAATTTATAGCCCCTATAGTTGTTTCCCTATTTCCCTCTTGAATAGTTTAAGCCTGAACCGCAACGGTGCCGGGACCTTGCTGCTGATTGGCCTTGGGGAGATCGTCCTTCTTGATGTTAGTAAGAACCCCGGTGTATACACGATTAAAGAAAGAGATAGATGAGAAACGTACAACATCAAAAATAACCCGAATCATTAAGCTGCAGCTGGGGCAAACGGCGATTTCTTCTCCGTCGCGAAGATCATCGATCGCAATCTCGAATCGGTCGCCACAAGGGCATGGGTAATGGTAGAGTTGGACGGCGGGGTCGAAGGTCATATCTTCGATTTCAATTTCGTCGTAGATGGAAAGAGCTTCATCGGCCATTTTTGGTGTATTTTTAGTTATTTAGAAAACACTTTGTGAATATTGTGGGGGAGGGGTTGAAGATCAGTGTATAGAATCCATGAGTCTTATCGGCGGAAAACTTTTGGTGGGTTGGTCAGGTGACTGTAGTGCGGGGGGTTGTTTATTGGCTGTTTCAAAAAGGCTGTTTTGGTGGAAGGTACAGAATTGTACCATCCAATTGGAGGGCATTTAATAAAGTGATGGTTAATGATGGACACGGTTATTAAGCACTGCAGTATAAGGCACGATGATGCGTTTGGGACAAGGGTATCTTAAGAGAAAGCAATAGATCGAGAAACGCCTACCCATTCATAATCTTTCAATCTCCGACCTCACATCTTCAATTTCTCGGATTAAATCCCCGTATTGTCGGGTAATATCCCTCATAGGCCCTGTTGCTGACCGTCTTCTACTGCCAGCTCTATCGTTCGCTCCCGAGTCGTCCACCTCATATGCTTCTAGTTCCTCCAGGGCTGACGCCTTTCTCTCCTCCAGCCGCTCGCGGGTGTCTCGAAGGTGCTGGCGGTATCGGCTGAGAGCAGCAATAGTCTCAGGCGTGTGTATCGTAGCACAAATATCCAGTTTCGTCACACTATAATGTCCAATTAATCTCGGCAGGCCTTGATAGAATCATCGAACTTAGTGCAAGCCACTGGGGTCGGACATACCTCAACTTCCCCTCCACGCTCCTTGCTACTGTAGCTAGATACTCTGCCTTCGCTTTGGTGGCTCGGGCGAGTGCCCCGTGTTTGGCGCGTTCCAGTAACACCACCATACGCTCCAGCACTGCAGCCCGTGTCGCTAGGACTTCCCTCGCTGTCGCTGCCATCCGTGTACGGGCTGCCGGAAGTTCGGATAGTTGTTTATGGCGTAATTTGCGCAGTCGATCTTCAAGCTGCGGGGAGAGAGAAACGGGTGCCCTCATCATCGACTGACGAGCCCAAGTCCGGGGTCGAGATAACTCCGCGGACGGAGGATTCGAAACGTCGCCCGCATTAGCGATCAATCGAAGGTCACCTAGAGAAGAGGAAATAGCATTCGAGAAGGGCTTGATCAATGCGGGAAGATCGGAGTAGAATTTGTCAATATCTGGAGCCAAGAGAGATAGCGCATCGGCTCCATCGCGATCGTCACCATCCAGGTCGAGCTGGTTGGATGACGAGTCCAAATACAAGCTGATAATTGTGATCGTGTCGCGGTACTAGTAATAAGCCATGTAACCTTGTCAGTTATTACTGTTCTCCTTCGTGTAGGTTGCCTGTGAAGTCATGCTGACATCGTCCGATAAATCACTGTCAGGATCAAAGGCTAGCTGTCGCAGTGTTTGTTTCTTGATTTGCTTTTTAATATGACGAGTCCGACAGTTTTTAAGTTCCTAAGCAAAATGTCCTCTCGATTTAGCATTCTTGTGGTTCATTCCCCCAAGTGTGGAATTGTTTTAGATAGTTAAAGGACGTACTTCCAAGACGGCCTTTCTGGCAGGCTGCGCATCGTTGGCGCGTGTCGAGGCATCAGGGTTGAGCAAATTCGTTGTCAAATTCTGGTATAGCCTCTTAAATTGAGGATTATCCTCCAGTATAGCTGGGTCGCAAGGGGGTAACATAACCACGGTTGTTGCGTTCTAGATATGTAGGTTGTGAAGCTGGAGATTAGATTAGGAAGAGCAATTAAATCGGTGTGCAGCGTCACCGCCCACCGATAAGTACATGCTTGCTTCGCTCCGCTGCGCAATTATGAACCTCCAAGCATACCGAGGCTCAGTACCCAGCCTACAGGTGATTACTCGAAATATGTATAAGAATACAAAGTCTCAGATTTTCGCTTCCGTTTTCACATTTCTTTCGTAATCATACATGCACTTGGTGCCATCACAACCCTCTCCTCAGAGAACTATCACTGCGCATCGACTTGCAACTGAATCATTTCCGCCTTCACCAGAGAACAAGCGCAAAGCATGCTTGAGCAAGTCCAACCAATGTCAGCAGGAAGTGCCCTCGTGAAAGACGAGCAAAAGCATATCGTGCGTTCACCACAGGATTATGGATCTTGCCACCAGATGCAGGCGAGCGAAAGTGGAGAGCTCAGACGCGACGTTCAACCCGATAGAAGTAAAGGGCTATGTACAAGAATACCAGGCGCCTGATAATAAAATCCAGGCCGTCTTCCAACGCAACAGTATCGCTAATAGTAGAAAGGAAAAGACAAACAGAAAAGGCTGGTGTGGTAACACAGGTTAACAACCAAGATGGGGAACAACTAATTAGAATAATGGATAACGTAAAATGAAGAATAGGAATGCCCAGGGACTAGCATAGTAGATCAACAAGACAAAGTGGAAGATTTCCGAAAAGTAAATATTCAGCTAGAATCCATCCAGCGAAGGTTTACTCCTCCTCGCTCTCTTCCGAGTCATCTTCCGAATCGTCGCTACTTTCGTTGGCTTCCACGGAAGGAACTGGATCAGGAGAACGGCCACCGCCCTGGAAGCGAGACAGGTTGCTCTCGAGCATGTTGATCTGAGCTTCCTGTTCAAACTTGCTCATGGGCTTGTTCTTTTTGGGTTTGGGGGCAGCAGCAGTATTCATAGCAGTGGGTGTCGCCACATCTTCATCTTCCATAACTTGGGGCGCATTCTTCTTGACGAATCTAAGAAGCATCAATAATACATCGTTAGGTAGCTCATCGATATCAAGTTCAATCTCCGTCTCCTGGGTGCCCTAGACGCAAAAGTTAGGCTTCTTAGCTCATTGCAGTAAGTAACTGTGGCGGAGATCGTACCTTGAGAGATGGAACATTGCTTTGGATGATCTTAAGCGCTTCCTGCATCTTCTTATCTGGAAGGCTACTAATCCCATTGGATATGATTTGCTTCTCCTGATATGTGACCCAGCGCTGCTTCTCGGGCTTCGATGGCTTTATGCTGCTCTTCTTGTCCTTCTTGGCCAGATTCATGGTTCCAGGCTTCTTGATATCCTTCGTGCTAGACTTGAGCTTCCCGGCCTTCTTCGATCCGGGTGGTGTCTTCTTTTTCTTCTTCTGAGCAATAGCTTCCACCTTACGTGTCATCTCAGCGATCTTCTGCTGTAGCCGTTGAAGTTCTTCGTCGTCGTCGCTATCGTCCGCATCTTCATCGCTTTCGTCAGATTCGGACTCGGACTTTCCGCTTTGGTGCTCAGGATGCGGTTCATGGGCCTCCAGGTAGCGTGCCTTCTGAGACCATTTAGAGTTGAATATCTCTTCAAACTTTTGTCCAGCAAGGTATGTAGGGTCGCCAGGGATATTGAACTTGAAACAGTTTTTGAAGATCAGGCGCATGTCCAGTTCGAATTCTTTGGCGTTCTCGTATTGACCAGTTTTAAGTTTCGTTTGCATAGTCGAGAGATCCATCGGTTTCTTAATAATGCTGTGGTAGGTAGGAATATTCAAGGCCACAGGATCAACGGGTTGATAGAATGGGACTGCATAATTAAAATGTTTTGGCTTGTGAAGCTCATCTAGAACCTCCTGGCAGAACTTCAATTCCCATTGATATTTCTTCTTCTTTGGCTTCGTTGAGTAGGGTAGATCGCGCTTCGGGGGATGGATGGACCGCTTAGGGCGTCCATCAGCATTGGTAGAATCGCGTCGAATAACAGGAAGACCTTCTGGTCCCAAAGCGAATGTTGTAGCCTGAGGGGAACCACCAGTTGGGCGTGGTGGAGCCTGGCCTATACTTGTTCGTGGTTCCCGTCGTGCCGCTGAGGTCTTAGGAGAAGACTTCTTCGGTTTCCTTTCTTCGATATCATCAGGCCTAGGGCAGTTAATCATCTGCTTTTCGAAAGTAGACTTGAGCTTCTGCCCTTCCTGCGCAACAATATGATCCGGGCCATTGAACGTCAACGAGTTTTGAACCATTAGGTTAAAATCATCAACGACAGCCTTGACCGACTTGTACTCATTATTTTTCAGACGTCTCTCAATGGTCCCAAGATCCATGGGCTGTCTGATAATCTGTGGATAATGAGGAATGTTCATCTTCTCTGGATCAACTGGCTCTCGATAAAAGCGTGAGTCATTCATACGCTTCAGGCTTTGGATTCCTTTAAGAAGGAACTTGTGCTGAACCCTAGTCATAGTCGCATCGCCATTTGTTGCCGCATCCGCACGTCGCTCAGCCACGGGGCCGGGGGTCCCGGGGGCTTTAAATCCAGATGAGGTAGAACCTTCCCCTCCAATCTTGGTACGCTTCGCAGCAGGCTCATCTCTTGAATCTGGCTCGCGTTCCCTAGACAGCTTTGTGGGAGACACCGGAACATCTGGTGCATCTCGCATTTCCTGATCAACACTCTGCAGATGTGGTAGCGAGGGAGCCTTAGTAGTTAAATCATTGTTCGAAGAACGTTCAGGCTTTGCACTAGCGGGAGGATGATGTGGAAGATCAGTCTTTGCGGCAGAGCCCCGAGCCTGTGCACTGCCGTCCACCTCTTTCGCTGGCTTTAAGCTATCTGGCGTTGGCTGCGATTTTTGAGGGGTACCATTATCAGCACTAGTATTCCCACTAGAGTTGGCAAGGTTCTTCCCAGTTGTTTCCTTTTTTGTTTCGTCTATAGCTGAAGATTCCGTGACCAGGTTTTTGCGTTCCTCGGGCGGAGCAGTCGGTGATTTCGGAGGGGATGTTGTATTGACTCCGTTTGTGGCAGTGGTCTCATGGCCATTCATTGAAGCAGGTTTGGTCGATTCGACTTTCTTCTCATTAACAGCCGCATCTGGCTTAGAATCAGTTACAAGACCCTGCATGCTGTGAAGAGGCAGTCAGCAATTAGTTCCATGTTTCCGAAAGTCGATTGGAGATATACATACTCTTTGCGACCAACATCGACAGAGATGCCATTTGGCGACGGTGGCAGTTGAGGCTTCTCCTCCTTGAGCACAGGAGCAGCCTCCGGAGGCGGGGTCGCCATCGAGGTCGATGTTTAAATGTCCAGCTGTGGACCAGAATACAGTGTACTAACACGCAGCGATGTAGGCAGCAGCTGGTATCAGTTATCGAGAAAGCTTAAAGCGACAACAAAAATGCACTGAATAGGTATTCTCTGCGCTATCACAGACTAAATGGATCGATTCGTCAACCGTCGACTAAAACCCCCTGATTAAGTGACAAAAGACAGATGAAAACTGTTGTTCAGCAGTCACAACTGCTGCGACGCCGCGGTGTTAGAATATACAGGAAAGATGAGTATTAGCGCGGGTCGGAAGTGGAGAATGCGACAGGAAGCAGAGGAATTTATATTGCCAAGAGGCGGTACGCTGTAGATGGTCACGTGGGCGGCAAGCCTGATTGACTAAGCGTGAGGCAATCTCGAGATAAAACGGAAGTGGAAAGAATCAAAAGGGAGAAGTCGAAAAAGAATAGGCAAGTCAGGTGATCTTTAGAAGGATCGCACGTGCCAACCATATGCCTGAGGCCACAGTGATTAAATGGACCTCGTGGAGTCGCGGTCGAGATTGAAGGGTGATAGAAATACAGTTAATTTGGTTTGGGTGTTTGAGTTGTTGCTAATAATAATAATCAAGTGAAAGGGGAAATAATAATGACCATAATAAATAAAATATAATAAAATATAAAGGGCAAGTGCAGTAGCTGTGGCTGGGATTCTTATCTGGGAGCGCGACGCGACAACGCGTTAGACCGAGTTAAAAAGAAAATAAATGATGATAATGCCCAGGGGTGGTCACGGGTAACCTTGGACACGCAGGTTTAGGCAAGGCGGTAAGTAAGAAAAAGGGTAAGGAAGGCGTGACCGGCGCGCAGCTCAGCTCAGGTCCAGAAACAGAGACTGAGAAAATCGGAGGGGGTGCTAGAATCCTTAAGTACGAACGACCGCGTCGCGCTCGTCCGTCCTCTGCCGCTAACTCCATCGGATACACTAGTCCTAATTTAATATTCAGCAGTTTTTGATTGGCTTATGGATGACGCGTTCTACGAGTCCATGGATACGATTGGGTTCTTCCAACTCTGGTGGATCCTCGTACCAGGAGTCCCTTTGTCGGAAACATCCTCGAAAAATATTCAGCTCTCCAAAAATAAAAATAAAAAACAAGTCAGAGCTGCAAAAAAAGGCACATCAAGCTGACGAAATAAGTAATACTTGAAGAACACTGAAGGTCCTCTTAAGGTGTTTGGCTTGGACACATCGCACCAGACGCCATTCGTTAAATGTATCTTTTGTCATACCGTAAGTCAGATATGACATACCCAAAAAATCTGTTAGGCATTCATGACGGGATGAAGGACTGCATCATGGATATGGTGATGGCTGGTTTGCTACACACCGATCCAGAAAAAGTTGATCTGCTGACCCGAGAAAGCCCCAGGGTCAAGCCCTGAGCCCTTCCCTTGCATTGCATTAGGTCTAGCCTCGTGCTGCTGACATAACCACTATGGCTTGTTAGTCATGCCAAGAGAGATATAGAATGTTAGTAAGGACAGGAACAAACACCGACGGATCTGATACCTGATCGCTTTGAGCTTTAAAGAACTGGTTCGGTCACGGTATGAATATGAGCTTAACTCGACTTTTTCCCTAGTAGTACATGTAGCGTAACAGTGGTGCCTGCCTGTAT